GCTGAAATCAACTTCTGACCGAGTTATTTAATTTTTCTTGACGTGTGGGTACATTCAAACCTCCGCAGCTCATGAAAAAACAAAAGTCTACGTGAGTCAAATCGCGCACTAAACGTTGCTGTAGCAGTTTCTGTGGTATAAAAAGATGGCAACCTCAATTTCGAGGCCTCAGCATAACTGCTGCAAGCTGCAAGTGCTGCATGGTATTAAAACTTTGAACAAGACAAGGCGGGGAAGGAACATTGCTCGATTGAAAAGCCTGCCGAAATCGCTGTAGTGCGCGATTTGATTCAAGTAGACTAGAGTTTTTGTTGTAAGCGCAGAATTCACACTTCTTGTGACCAATGTAAACTAAAGTTGTTAATATTTTAATTAAGGGTTGATTTTAGTATGTTTTGCTGCGCGAATCGTGCTCTACGTGAAATTCCGATTATGAAACATGTAACAGAATGCTTAAATTCGAACCTTTTCTACTGGCCCATTTAAAAGCCCCGTGACCAATGTAAAATTAAAACGTTAATATTATAGTTAGGAGTTGATTAGAGAATGTTCATTTACGCGAATTGTGTTCTACGTGAAATTTAGATGAAAAACATGTATAAGAATGCTTGAATACGAAACTGGTCCGCTGGTCCATTAGAGGTATAATCTCTGGTCTCAGCATTTCTCATAATGATGCCTTGATACCACTATTCTTGATCCACGGACATGCGTGTGGCATGTCAAAAATTGAAGGCGTTTCTAACAACCACGCCTTGATAGGCTATCCCTGAAAATGGAGGTATCATCTCTATTGTTATTCTTTTGATTTCTTATAAGAACGCCTTGATACCACTATTCGTGGTCTACGGATGTGCATGTGGCATGTCAAAAGTTGAAGGCGTTTCTACCAACGACGACTTGATAGAACTAGCACCATAATGGAACAGTGGATAAGGCACGAATTTGAGGATTTTAATACATGTGTCCTGACCAACAGTTCATGTAGAACACGATTCGCGCAATGAAAATGACTGAGACTAACTCCTAACTAAACTATTCAATATTTCTGGACGCGTCCATTCAAGCATCCCGCTCCTGAAAAAACAAAGGTCTACTTGAGTCAAACTGTCCACTAAACTTTACCGTAGTAGTCTTGGCGGTATGAAAATAAGGTAACCTTAATTTTGGTGATGATATTTAATAGATATTCAATGTTTCTCGAAGCGAAAAATTTAAACCTCCCATTTACGAAAAAACAAAAGTCAAATCGTCCATCGAACGTTATTGTTGCAGTCTCTGCAGCATTAAATTGTAGCAACCTCAATTTTGGTGCTTCTGCTCAGCATTCATACGTTGATAACACTTTAAACAGTACGAAGCGGACAGGGAATTAAGAAGCCCGCCAAAATCGTTGTAATGCTCGATTTGATTCAAGTATACTATTGTATTTCTTGTGCGCGGGGAATTCAAATTTTCCGTGACCAATGTCAATGAAAACGTCAATATCTTAGTTATAGGAACTATTTTCAGCTATTTTCGTTGCGTGGATTGTATTTTGCGTAAAATTTTGTATTATAAAAATGTATCCGAATGCTTGTCAACTGGTCCATGGCAGAGCTGCGATTTTTCTGTCGGACGTAATTTTTTAATTTTTTTCCAGTGAAAAAATATTGCATAAATCAGAAAAAAAGCATTGTCAGGACGAGGAACCAGAATTGCCAAGAAGATTACTTTCACCCCTTTACAAAATAAAGTAAAATTGAAAAATTGGAACAAAGCCAATGTTTGAACGCGATTTTATGGGTCATCAATTGAAATACTATCGCCTTAAATTTTTACCTAAGTATGTTAATACTGAATTTATTAGTAATATTAAAGGTCAAACGAGCATTTTGACGATAAGTTGCTGAATTTTCTGATTGATACAAAAAAACATGTTTAAAATTTTGATCAATTTGGAAGAGGGATTTGCTAAGATCCGGTGTTCTGTTGAGGTGTGTCTGTCCGGTTGTTTTTAAATATTTAAATCAAGGAGTTTGATAGACAAGAGAAGATATTTGAAGTGCCTCCCTGGGTAAGGTTTTTTTTTTTCTTTCAAATGTTCTAAAATCATTATGCTGAACCAATACATACACATTACCTTTACCTACTTTCTTTCACCTTACTTAACTCACCGGAAAAGAATAGTATAATACGCAAATTTATTCCATACAATCTCCTTGTTTTCCCTCAAATTCAATTTAATAATCTAAAGTCAATTCATCGATCTAAGTGAAGCAGAGGCAACTTGGAAAAACATGAGATTTGTGTTCAAAATGTGCAAGCGAGAGGTGAATTCAATAGAGAGCCAGTAAAAAGACACCCTCCCCCCCCCCCCCCCCTCCTGACTAATATCAAGCCCGATAAGGAATGAGAAATACTTAAAAATTTAAATGTTAGTATGCGCCCTCATTTAATTGGGCAAAGAAAAATGACTCTTTCAGATTTAAACGCTTTCGATGAAGAAAGTATCATTTGAATTCAAGTGCTTTGACTGGAATAACACTGAGAGACATTGCAATCAATCGCTCAATTTTCCGACATAATATCAATATCATCATTTCAAAATTTTAAGACATTTTAATAAATATTTCATAAAATTAAAACATTCTATTTCAGTCATATTCGCCTCAAAATGTACAATACAACATCTGATGATGAAATACTTAGAATGAAAGAGTATTTCAGATTTCTCGGTTGTGGATGTATCATATGTTCGCAGCCTCTTGCGGGTCTGACAGATCGATTGCATGCCAAGTTAAATTATCAAGGCCTATCATATCTCTCTGCGATTGTCATCAGCAATTCTCTAGCTATAATTTAAACGGTCGGGTTAAAACGATGGTTCATTAACTTTGCAGGCAAAATACAGACCACTTACTGATTCCCAAAGATAGGAAGTATGATACCTGAGTGTTCATATTAAATGCTATTGTGAGTACTTAGATTTTGTCACGCACAATTTCCCTCTGACTTGGTTAGAGCCAATTTTTACTTTCCTGCTGGGACCTCCTGTCGTAAATGGTCATCTCTTGAACCTCTGCTGCCTACATCTGATTGATGCGCTACTTCATGCAAAAAATGGTCTGTTCGCTACTGTAGAACAAAAATTAGGAATGGCTTAGATTTTATTCATTGGCTCATGAAAGACGCGTTCTGAAGACTTGCGCTCTTCTAGGTTACTTCAGGAAAATTAGTGGAACGCCAATACAGCAGGACTTAGAGACTCAAAACAGAGCGTGAACAAAAGTCTAAGGGAATTACCTAAGAATCATGTTCCTGGAAATCAAGTGCAGAAGCTAGGACGAGATCATGATCACCTTCTTGGTTAGACCTCGACCTATGGGCGAGAAATGGTCGGTTGTTTATAAACGTGCATGGGTGGTTTCACGATAACTGGAATAGTTTTGTCGCCGTAACAAACAACACATTTTTCGGTCATATTTTTAGTAAAAATGATAATCACTCGAATTTTTTCGCATCAATCTTCAAAGGGTTGCGTATTATAACGCTTCTAATGATTTTTTACACTACTTCTCAATTAATATTATGTAAATTCCAAAAATGTGCTGTCTGTTACGCGGTAAAAACTTAAAAAGTCAGCGTAACAGACAGCACATTTTCGGCCATTTATATATTGAAATTGAAAAATAGAGCGATAAATCTTTGAAAAGCGTTATAATACGTAACCCAGTGTAGATTAATGCAAAAAAAATCGAGTGATTATAGTTACCTACTACTAAAAATATGACCGAAAAATGTGGTGTCTGTTACGGCGACAAAAGTATTCCGGTTATCGTGAAACCACCCGCATGAAGATTTAGAGTATCTTTTTAGTAAGAATATGAACATTGGGAAATGGCGCTCTTGCATTTGTCTGGGATTTGCGATTTAAGTACTTTAACTCTCGTAATTATCGCGAGAAACAAGATGGTGCCACTGGTTTTCTCTGAAATCGACTCCAAAGCTCAATAAAAGCTCTCAAAGTTGAGGCAGCAATGAAGGAAATATCCCACGCTACCCTGTGAGTCCATCTCTATATCCAGTCAAACTCTCCATGCAAAGATAGGGAGCGAAAACATAAACAATGTTGCACTTTGAGGACTTCAAAACTGAAAGCACGGTAACCCTGCTACTGTATTTGTTCCCTACCTTTGCATGGAGAGTTTGACAAGATATACATAGAGGTGGACTCTCAGAATAGCGTGGGATATCCCTCCATTATACAGCCACAACTTTGAGCGCTTTTTTTAGCTTTGGAGTTGATTTCAGAGACAACCAGAGGGACTATCGTTTTTCTCGCGAAATTTTACGAGAGTTGAAGTCCCAAAGTCGCGAATCTCCCAGACATGCAAGAACTCTATTTTTTCGGGCTGTTGAAATAATAAAATATGAAAGGAAATCAGGCAATATCTGATGCAGTTACGTATACCCTGAGTAAATCAGTCTAACTGTTCCCGTTTATTTTGCCTATTTACTTTTGTTCGGATACAGAGTGAGAACTTCTAAAATATCTTGTATTTGTTAATCCTTGAACGGCCTGACGGAAATTAGTAATTTTAAAGTAGCCCTTTGGTCAGCAACGCAAAACCTATTCTACGTAAAAATAATAAAATATGAAAGTTTGAGCTTTTTCAACTAATCATAAAGATATTGGTGTTTTATATTTTATTTTTGGTGTTTGGAGAGGATTAATTGGAACTTATTTTAGTATAATTATTAAAGCGAGAGCAACAAGCAGGATCGTCGAACTTTCTTTTGCCCATCGATTAATCCGAACTTGGGCAGTCGGTAAAACAAAAAAACTTTGCAAGTGAGTAGAGAGTGGGGGGCAAGGAAAAGTCCAACTCCGGAACGGGCCAAGGATTGTACTAGAAGAGGGAGGGAGAAAAAAGATAGGGAAAAAACGATCACGAAAAGCTGTGACGTGCGAGGAGGGAGCGCCGAAAAGCTAGAGCTTAAATAGCGGCTGGAAAGCGTGCGACATTGAAAAGAGATCTTAACCTTCGCCGTGGTCGCGCGGTAACTGAGTGAGCACGTCTTCAGTCGCAGTCGGTGAGTGTTCGGTGTTCGCTAATCGTGCTAATAGCGGACTTACACCAGCCGGTGAGACGCTGACTCGTGCTTGACCCGCTAGTGATCATCCCTGTTGTCCCTCTTTACTCGTGGTGTCAGTTAACTCCCTGTTGTAAACATGCTCCCCGTAAGGTCTTCGATCCTTTTCCTGTGTTGTGCTGTGATATCTCAAGTTGCGTCCGCGCCCAACAGTCCACCCGCCAAATTACGTGAGTTTCTTCCCAAATTATTTTCTTTACCATCGCCGAAAAAAAAAGTTCAGTAAGACCGAACTCTTTTTCAGAGGCGCATAATTCAAAACACTAAAAAATTAAACTGCGATTATGACTGAATAAGACTCACGGATGAGGCCATGCACTAACTCATTTTTGAAAAATCGCCTGCTAAAGTTGGAATATGAGTATTTCCATCACACAACGTTTAAAATGCGCACCTTACTTTTATTTTTCTTTCAAAAAAAAGAAAAGAAAAAAAAGAGTATCTCCTAAAATTGTTTGGAGATATTTTTCGTAACGGAAAAGTTCGCAAAAAATTTTGGAGTTTTTGTCGGCTGGTTTTCTTTCAGATACATGCGTGGAGATTGGCAACATCGTATACAGAAACACACGTTTTTCAACTTCAGCTTTCAGATTGGAATGTTAGTTATTTCAAGTGGACTCGTCTTGGGATGTTCTTATAGAAAAAAAAAGAGAAAAAAAATTAAGCATTTCATCTCATTATCTCATCTCAATATCCGAGTAAAGAATATCATTTTACCTAGTTCTTGCAACTAAATGTCATCAAACAAAAATTATCTATCAATAAAAAGGTTCTACCAAGAATTCGAATCCACTAAATGACTGTAATGAAACCTAAATTACTTTTTGAAACTCACTTCGTCGTTAGATCTCTCCTGCTTAGTGAAATTAAATCGGTGTTTTTTGCGATAGTTAGCTGATCCAAACAACAACTGAGCATAAGTTCGAGTAAGAAAATACCTTAAACCGGTCGTTTATTCGAAATTCCATGATAAGAAGAAGTTAGCAAACTGGTCTCTCATTTCTCTCGAAAATTCCTCGAAAAATGTCCATAAAACTCAAAAAATTTCCTCGGAGGAAACGTAAAACTAACGCAACGTAACAAACGTAAAAGTTCTAAACTTAAATACTGCACAGCAGGGTAAATTATTTTCTAACTATTAGCATTTTTTATGTACGCCCCTAATGTATAGAGATGCTTAATACTTGGGATGTTGGATGCATAACGGATACATTACACTTTCATATCTTTGCGTTCAAATCTCCAGGTGATTTTATGGCCCAACTCCTATACTAGGTATGCAACCAAGAATATAAGTCACTTAAAAAAGGTACACTTTGATCCTTTAAAATTATCAAATTAGATATTTCGGATAAATTTTATTCATAAGAGTGCATCCACTGTAAGATGATGATAATTTGTCTAAATTATCTAATTCACTAATTCTGAAGGAAGAAAGAGGCCCCTTTTAAATAGCTTCCCCTTCCGACACATCTAATCTTAGTTACAAATCTTGTGTATCACTGAGATAAAAGATTGGTAGAATTTACCATTTCTTCACGCTGTATTTCACACACCGCGAATTCAAAGTCGATTCTGCCAGAGGAATGGTTACCTGTACCAGTGTATAGTAACGTTTACCTTTCTTCCAGCAGAATTGACTCTGAATTGACGTTGGGTGAAGTACATCGTGAAGGAATGGTAAATTCTACCAATCGTTTTTCTCGGTGAAGAGTTTGGTCATGGAATCACCGGGAGACTTAAACGCAAGGATATGCAAATATGATGTACCCGTTACACATCTAACATCCCAATTATTAAGTTCTTACACATTACGGGCAAAGAGAAAAAACTGAAAATAGTTAAAATAGAATCTACTCTGTGTAGATGTAATCTAATTTCAGAAAATTCCCTTCGTTTCCTTCCTTAGAATAGTACGGAAATCGCACTAGGAGTTACATCCTGTTTTCACGGACGTGTTCAACGTGTTTTTATGAGACGTCATCGTGTCCTCTTTGTATTCCCTTCTTTTCTGATTCGACTAAAAATGAGCGACCATATAAGTATGTAATGCTCATAGTTAAGTTACCTAGCTTTCATGGCCGTAGCTTGTTTACTTAAAATGCATAGCTTCCAGTTTTACGCAGTTTGCAGATCTTCTTCCGTATGATATGACACATAGCGCATGATCGCTACATCTTAGAGTTCTAAAGTTAATTAGATGATATCAAATGTCAAGGTTTTCCCGAGACATTTATTTTCGCAAATTGAACTGTTAATCGTACATTATATTGCTGGTTAGAACAATTGTCGGGGTGGTGCATCTCAACCTTTGGCTCCTGAAGTTCTGGCGTTAATAAAATAATGAGCGTTAATAAATATAATGCGTTAATAATGGCGTTTATTCGTGTATATCACATTTCTCTCCACATGCTTTGTCTAGGCAAATGGGACTGTCAATGAGTCAAGATTACTTAATTTGCGCTGAGGATGATGAATGAATAAAGCTTAGATGAACTCCTGGTGTTGTGCGTAGAATAACCAATGACTTTAAAGTTATTTCTAGGGTCCAATCGTGCACTTGGTGTATGGAATGGGAGGAGGGAGGATGTTGTAAGATCCCGCTTCATCACAGGAGCGCCCGGGGGTAGCTAAATATGCAACGTGAAAAGCGAGAGTCACTATGACTATTAATGAGTCCCCGATGACTACTGCAACGACGTTGATACACACTGCATCAACAACGTAATTTTTCACACTTAAATATTTGTGTGCTTTTCCTCTTCATCATGATCTCCCATTTTCCATAATAACTCGCACGCAAGTGAGATCGTAAAATCCCAGCTCAACTAAAATTTACACGAATAATGTGTCTAGTCTTTAAACATCGTACCCTTCACTGGAAATTAAAAACACATTGGATCTTGAGTCCAGACTCACAAAAACATCGACAAGAAAAAATACTCTTGATTAAATCAGATTTAAGCTTAAATTAAGAACCCAGCCTCTTAATTTGAGCGGATTTCCTTTTGATTTAAGCTTAAATCTAATTGGATCGAGAGTCTTTTTTCTTATCGATGTTTTCAAGAGTCTGGACTCTAGATCCAATGTGTTTTTTTCCCAGTGTTTACATAACCTTACCTCGACGTAGGTTTCTATTTGGGTACAAAGTTTGGGGTTGAGGTGTGAGGATATTCAATTAAGGGATTGGACAAAAATACTTTTCAACGATAAAGAGCCTGACTTTTGAGAGGTCATCTTGTTCGGATTTTCAGTATTACAGCAAAATACTTAATTCTCTCGTGTACAGAGACATCCCAAACGTCGCAGTATTAATTATTATAATATAATTAAACTTTGACTAATCTTGAAACGTTTGAAGAAAATTACAAGACTGAGGATTCATTCGTCATTTACTCCTAACAGAGTCAATAAACGTCGTGTACAGTTACTTGCGGTTGGGGAAGTAAATCGGAGCCAGAAATTGAAAAAAAATAATATATTTCAGTTAAATATAATTAAAGCATACCGCGTTATCAAGTATTTCAAGATTATCTGCAAAGGCCCTAAAACCCCATTCTTCTTCCCTAAACGTAATCTTTCTCAAACGCCTACTCGTTGTGAGATAAACAATTACGAGAAAATAATCGAATTAGTGAAAATATACAGGAGACATGTATTTTATGTGTCTATTTTGAATTGCTGGGGATCAACTGACGCCGCACAGTGGGACGAGTCAATAGGAGACGTCGAACATAATTTGGAAACTTTAAAAGCTTATAACTCCATTTATACACAACTTTGAGATTCTAAAAGTGGTTTTGTTGGTTTCCTCGTGAAATTTTCCTCTAGAAGCACCCCTCACAATTTAAAATGTGACGAAATATACATAAAAAATTTGCATTTTCAGCCAAAAATTTCATGGCCGACCTCTCTAATTGCCTCGATCCACTGTTCGCCGCTCAAGAATAAAATCAATGAATTCTATTGTGAAGCGTGTCATATCAAGTCGTCATCCTCGATTCTAGGGCAGCAAGTGTGCTTAAAATAAGATTGTATCATTTTCATGGAATTTAAGGCTCGTAAAAGAACATTACCTGCAAAGTTTCGAAATTGGGTATTTCCTAGGATCACAATCTTTGTAGCTTCAGGTTTTTTTTTGTTTTGTTTTTTTTTTTTGTTTTTTTTTTTCTTAAATGAGCAAAATTAATCGGCGGAAAGTGTTGCGGAATCAGTAGGCTAGAAATTAGCGCCAAAAAGCAAATCGCCTTTAAATTTGTTATTCGTTTAATGGCGCGCCACTTTAACAGCCTTGGACGGATCACTTTGAGTGCTGTTTCATTACATACGCACACTATAGCTCACTCACCATGATAGGAATCGTCATTTGAGGTTTTACTCTATCGCGAATTTGAAATGACCTAGAGAAAATTTTGCTGATCATTTCCTGAAAATGAGCGTGCTAGAATTAACAATTATTTTAAGTATGTGTGCATAGTTTCCATTCCAAGAAAGACCTAGGAGAGCATAAAACTTCCGCGCTGATTGTAAAATAAGCAATAAAAATGCAAAATAATGCTCCTGAAGCGAATAAAATGAATATAAATGTTCAAATTCGGACTAACCGAATCAATTAATTGACTTTGTTCGGCTCACTAGAGCGGTTGTTACTTCCAACCACAACCGACCATAAACATCGGTAAGCGGTGGGTGGAAAATTAACAGCATTGTAAACTAATCGCTAAATTGCACTAATAAGTCGACTGTGTGGTGGAGATGAATTTCTACCGACTCTTATTTACAAGCTTAGGAAAATGTCTCGCGTATCTTGTTCGAGAATAGATAAATGAAAAAATAAAATTGGAGGCAGCGTTAAATTGCTTTCAATCGTACTTCGCTGAAATGGCACCATAATCCTTGAATAATATTCCTTAAGGGGCTCAATGCGTGAGGAACTTGTTACGGAGGGTATACGTCCTTAATACTTAAACTCAATATTTGTAAGCAGGATAAGATATACAAAAAATAAACGAATCTCTTGATTGCTGCCATAAAGTAAATACTACGGAATCCAATGTTGTGGATTTATTTTTTCTGCGAGAATTTACCAACTCAAATATGCGACGCAAATCAAAACATTGCTAAAAATGCCAAAATAAATTCTGGATTTTCGTTCAATTAATAATAATGAGAAACCAGATGTTATACGATCTAATGGCAATTTGCCTTTCTACGGGAATAATTTCTGATACAGGTAAAGGTGGTTGAGTTTATTAATTGGAGTGATTAATAAATAACTCTCAAATGATGTTGCTCTTGATGCCTAGTGATCGACATTTCACGCATACTCACGCATTAAAAAGGGGAAAACAAGCTCTTATACATACAAGGCATAGGTAGAAAACGATGCTAAGCTCTCTTCGTTGCATTTTGGAAATATCTTGGATTCCTCTCATCAGATACATGCCACGCTGATAAACCGGTTTTATAAGTTGCTTGATCGTTCCCGACCAGAACTTTTTCAGACTTTTTTGGGGAGGGGGTGAAGGGGCGGGGGAATGCATTTGGCCATAAGCTCCTCCCTAAATTTTAAATCAACGAGAATATATAAAAAAAAAATCGAATCGCCCTTTTGGAATTCACTGAGTTTTGTGAGGAGCGTCAAAAACGAATGACCGGGTCAAAATTCTGGTCATTAATTATCTTAAGCCGGAAAATTAGCCCACACCTTGATATTGAAATTCTGTGATAATGAGAGATCCACTTGGATCCACGAGAACCAGAAAAAAATGACGGAAAAGAATACTGCGCTGTGCTAAGGAAGAACGTCGTATGAAAATTCGAGAGTTGTCAAATTCCCCTAGATAAAAAATGTATTTTTGACAGCATTCATGCACATTATTCCTCGATATTTTCAAACATTTTAGATTAAATTGCGTACAAAATTTTCTGAGAATTTTGGGGGAAAATATTTACAATTTTTCCGGTAAATTCGATTTTAATCGACGGAAACTTGGCAACTTCTGAAAGCTCATACGGCGTTCTTCCTTAGCACTATTCCAGCAGAACAGTGCCTTGACTCCGGTCAACGCACTTTACAGAAGCTCTTCGTTATTAATACATACTCCCCCGTTCGGTCAGCGCCTTAAGCTCCTTTTTTCATCTAGTGTTTATCCCTTCCGTCATCTATTCTATTCTGTATTAGTTTTTTCTAGTACTGCTCGGTTTTTTCGTGAGACCTGTTAGACCACACTAAAGCGTTCTCCTATTCATTTAGTTCAAGATTATAATCTATCTGATTTTTCTTCCTCTTCCTCCAGATCTCTCGATGATTGCCCTCTCCCGTTACGGAGCTTGTGACGAAACGTCGAAGTCTCTAGAAACTTAAGGTCACAATGTTTGTCACACCTTTATCTTCTTCTTCTTCTTCTTCTTCTTCTTCTTCTTCTTTTTCTTCTTCTTCTTCTTCTTCTTCTAATGTGCGAACCTCTGAGGGTGTTTCTGCTCGATTCTCAGAAAGTCCCAAGGGAGGCAAGTTACAATTCAATAATTGTCAAAAAGCCAATTATAGGTTTAAACTTCTTTATTAAAATTTAAATTGCTAAGTTTAATCATAATTATGAAAATTATTAGTTCAACTAAACTTAAAATTTTAATAAAGAATAAATAAAATAAGATAATAAATTAAAAATACAAATCTTGATAATGCAAACTTAATAAAATTGCTAGTGTATCATTTTATTCATCCGACCTATGCGCTCGGCAGCAACTTGCTTGACGTTAAATATCATTTTATTTCATTCCGTGATAATTTTCTTTTTCACTGATAAAATACCGAGGAACTTTCCGCAGAGTTTTTTTCTGTCATTGAGTATTTAAAGGGGAGGGGAGGTCCTCTGTAAATAATACCCACTACCACGCATAAAAGCTTCTAGTTTGTTTTAATTTTACTATTGTTTGAGTGTTAGTATGGATCATAAAATGGTGCAAGTCATACAGACGTTTTTTAAAAGTCAGTTCTAGAAAAATTGCGACATTCTTTTTAAATAAACTGTCTAATCGGCAAATTTAAACATTCCGTTCCTGTTAATAAAAATAGCCTTATTCCAATGGTTAAAACGAAGCTGAATATGATGTCGTCTAGCCATGTTTTACCCAATAGCTAAGATTCCATTAAAAACGAATAGAACTTAATTTTTGAGAAAAATTTTTTCTCAAAATTCAGATTTTTCTGAAAAATGTTTACAGTGTGTGGATTTCAACCATTAAAACACAACTCTAGGACACGTTCAATTACCTATTGATCTATTTCTCACTAAAAGAATAAGTTGCCAAGATTTCGGTTTACTTTGGCAATGCAGGGCGCCATCTCTAGCTTTAATCCATCATTGGCAAAAGCTGGATCGAACTATCACCGAGAAGTGCCTTTGGGTCGTGCCTTGACGCGAAACATTGCAATTATAGTTGCTTGAATTTTTCCCCGCAGTAATCTGATGACCATAAAACCCACCTCGGCCTAGCTTCCTTCCTCAAGAACAAGTCCGATGGATGCCCACAAGGTTTTCAGCAGAAATGCTTCGGTGAGATCGTGCCTCTTTGCTGCCATTCAATCATGAAGCTGGGCTGGAAAAATACAGTAGAATTTTTCGCCTTAGTAAACATTACGTGCCTAGTTCTTTTCATGAACACCAGCCTGGAATTGCATTCTATCGCGCAGCCTACCTGAGTGAAGCCTTGTTACCTATTTCATCCCAGCGGGATGCCTACTGTCAACTTTACATAATACAATTCCTAACACGTTGACCAATTTTGGTTCAAAAAAATAAGCGACTTTGAAACTGCGTCTTCGACTCTCCTTCTTCCATATAACACCTTTTTTCTCCTTTTTTATGGACAAAAGTGTGTGAAAATAAAGACTCGTTTGACTTGGTTAAAAATAAGATAAAATAAACTGAAACTTTGAAACTTATCGAAAGCCAACCTTTCAATTAGACGCACAGTAGATCGAGTCAATGGAAGTCGGGCATGATTTAAAAACTTTGAAAAACGTATGATTTCATTAATATGAAATTTTGATGTTTTAGAAGTAATTTCATTGACTTTCTCGTAAAATTTTCTGTAAAAAGCACCCCTTACAATTAAAATGGCGAAGAGATGGACGTAAAATTTTACAATTTTTGTCCACAATTTCATGTCCGACTTCTTTCATTGACTCGACCCACTGTGAGACGTGTGAAATTACTAAATCCTCCCTTCTTCTTTCGCTCCTCGTTCCCCCTTTTTTTCTCTTATCACAAAACCAAGTTCTAAGAGAAGGAGACTCATTGGCCACCGCGCCCGTCTTTTAATCATATAGATCGAAAAAAAGATTTTTCAAGCAGGTATCTCTCCTTGCCGTTCATAAAACATCCCAAGTTCCGAAAACAACACTGAATACAGCTAACTCTTGATGCTGACCTGGCGAAGAAAGGTAGAAAGGATCGCTAAATGTCGGTTCGTTTATAAGGATCGATTGGTAAAGATCGCGAATTTCGCAACTGAAATGCGTGTACATACGTAAGTGCACAAGAGACAGACTCAAGCGAATGAACTTATGTTGCCACATTGATCCTTCCTCAACAAGTTGTATCCACTAAGAACGCGGCAATTATGAGGTTCATTACGTATGCCTTTTTGGTGAAAATATTTAGCCTCGCGTTAGACTCGCAGGAGCTTTTATGTTGTCGTAGTGCATTTTTCCAGTGGCGTGGCGTACTTTGCGATACATCGATTGATAGGCCATTTAAACCTATGGAAAAGTATCGATAAACAGGCTGTTCGCAGCGAACAAATTAATAATCGATTCTTTACCACAACTTCTAACGGGGAAATATCGATAGATCGCAAAGCACGCCACGCGCCTCTGCATTTTTCGTAATTTCCCGTCCACACTGCTGCTCCGCTCAAACTTGACTACAGTGGCATGTCGTGCTTGGCGATATATCGATTAATCTGCCATTTAAATCTACATGCAGGAAAGGATCGATAAACTGGGTGTTTGCAACGAACACCCAAATAACCGATTATTTACTGTAGCTTCAAATGGGGAAATTTGAAATATCGATCATCCATCATTCACGCTTCGCCACTGGTTGACCGCCTATACCGCCTAATTCAGACCTAGCCGAGTAGAATCTTAAATTACATGATGATGAAGATCGAGGAGAAAGAGGTTTAAAACAAAATAACCTGGAGAAAACGAGAAAAAGAGGAGGAAAAAACCGATTGCATATGTCGTCACCTTCCGGTCAAAGTATCACAAGCGCCATGCGACGTTTTAACATTTTCACCGTCATTTTATTTTTTTACAGAGAAATTGTCCAACGAAGCTGGTCGAAAATTTCACTGAATTTTCTTTGGACTGCCGATAAAATTCAGTGAAATTTTCAAATAGATTCAACCAACAATTTCTCTGTAAAAAAATAAAATCGCGGCGGAAATTTTGAAACGTCGCATGGCGCTTGTGATACTTTGACCGGAAGGTGACGATGTGATATTGACACCTAAATGGCGATAAAACGATTTTAGGTCCTTTTCTGGAGTTTTTTACATTATGCTATGGTAAATTACTGTTTATTTTTAGCTTGCTGCCTGGATGATTGTTTATACACTGATTATATTTACCAGGGAAAGAAATAACAAAAAGGGCACTGCAATTGCTCCCCGCAGATAAAAATAATTCGCACGCTATTCAAAGTCTAACATTGTCCTATACTGTGCTGATGCCAGACGAAAAAATGTACTGTCAATCGTTTACCTTAGTCGTCAAGGGTCACTATACTGATTGTGAGGCCAGATTCGATTAGTTTAATGGAAGTTGGGACCTCATAATATGTGTGTGAGCCGATGGTAATCGCTTCTCTATTGGTGTTCTCTAACTAAAAATGTAATTTTTGTTTACATCGGGAAACGAACGAGGATATTACCCTCTAGTGCGAAATCGTTATAGAAGTTTTCTGAAGACTGTCAAGTTCTTTGTAGCGTGCTTCAAAAACTTCGGGAAATTTCCCTAAAAATCCTGAAAGAAGGTCCTGCGAAGAAAATCCTGAATTTAGATAAGGCTCAATTTTCCAATCTGTTTTCCTCTAAAATTTTAACTATCACGCACGCATCAGTGAGTGTCAAATCATTGTCTAAATCGAAAGAATTTAGAAAGACACTGCGAGGAAGTGTTTTAAATAAAACTTCACTTCTACCCTGTCGAGGTCTAATCTCTTGCAAATCCCCCCCCCCACCTTCTCGCCTTTCAAACGGCGTAGCTGAGAATTATTAATGATTTGCGTATGTTTGAAAAATTTGCGAATGACGAGAAGGCTCGCCGAGCGGTGAGCCAAGCGCTAATCATAGAGCAAATATGAGATGTGGGGTCGTATCTATTCATACTTGCTTCTTAAATAGCTCCTTATCGGAGGAGATCCTATACGGTTTACATTGTGGTTAAGGGGAGTTTAAAGAGAACTTTAAAATAACATAATAATAAGGACAATTGAGAGGCTTGGAGAACAAGGCGAATAAATGTAGATTTTGCTATTTCGAGAAAAACGTGTGTGAGTTTCTCAATTATATGACGCCTCATGGCGAAGAGAAAGTTCAAACTAACATTTTCTTTAAGATGTTTTAAGAATCTGGAAAATATTCTCCGCAATTTTCTCACTTTTCCTCGCTAAATAGAGATGCCGATCCGTTCAGTAAATGTAAGGTGATAATAAGATTATTTCTAATCGAAATGAGAGATGAGGGTCCGGGCAAGCGTTACGAAATTTTTAAGGGGGGTCTATAGCACAGCGTTACGGAGCGTTACAGGGGATGGGGGAGGGGGTGCCACCTAGGGTGCTTTGCGATATCGATTGATCTGTCATTTAAACCTATGAAAAACAGGGTGTTTGCAACGAACACATTAATAATTGATTCTTTACGACAGCTTCAAATGGGGAAATATCGATAGTCGATCATTCACGCCTCGCCGGATTTCTGAGGAAAAGAGTTTTTAAAGGAACGACTAGGTATAAATAGACCGCGTTTAACAGAAAGGAACCAAGCCACATCGGGATCGAACCGAGAAAAAGAGGTTTAAAGTTTGGCTCCTGCATAAGACTCAATGTAAAAGATAAACTTCAAGTTCAATTTCTGCAAAATTCGCTCCAACAAAAACTTTGAATTTTTGGTGATAGAATAGTAGAGCAGTGGTCGAGTTCAAAACCACTCATAACTCAATTTTTTTCAAAACATGGGTTGGTTCCTTTCTGCTTAACTCAGTCCAAATGCGGTCTTTACTAGATTTCAAACTTTTTTTTTTTTTTTTTTTTTTTTTTTTAAATTTAGACATTTCAAACGGAAGTAATAAGAGTGAAATTGAAAACTTGGCAATAAATGAACAGAGATGTAGAAACATGCGGCATGCGTGCCACTGACCACTGGCGATCGCCCCCTCCTCGTCGTCGAGGTGTTCTTTGAATGGAGGTGGTTGGCACGCTCAGCAGCCGATCGCAAGCTCCGTCCCGGTGGCCACATTGACCAAGTTGCCCACTTTACACTGCCGCCAAATCAGACAATAAATACATTAACAGCTGTTAAGTAGTGGTAAAATACGTTGATTTTGCACCGGAACCCTGACTACTCGTTACTTACACCGCCGTGGTGAAAAAAATTAGGGATTTTTCCTCGTCTTTTTTCTTCTCTCTGTAAGAGAAAAACAANGGGGGGGGGGGGGGAATGTAACAAGCAATAGAAAGTTTGGAAACATATCGAAAGGAAGAGGAGGAAAAATTAAGGATGAGGAGAAAATTAGGAAGGCACAAAGGTCGGAGACAGGATCTACATGTGTTCTTCCCAATACCTTTAATTGTAGTGAAAAAATATAATTTGTCAACACGGTGTGTTGGCGCTTTGACTGAGGTCATAACTTGGCTGGTTCATTACTAATGCCGTGCTCTTCACCCAATATCTTTCTTTGATCTTCACCTGATCTACATTTGTCCGCGATGCTCATAAATATTGTCACATGCATAGTTGTTGAACTTGGTTGCATTTAATTGTAGGTTATTACAGATAGAGCAAGAGGAAAATTATGGGAAATATTCAAGAGCGCCCGGTAAACTACTGATTACTCAGTTCACGACCACTGATCTTCTATTCAATTTAAAGTACCTAGGCATAAGTGCATAGTTAAGTACATATACATAGTATAGTACATAGTATAGTACATATTTAAGTGCGATCCGACGTGAGTCTCCTCCTGCTAGATAAAAACCGCGTAAGCATGTCTGCCGTGCTAAGGAAGAACGCCGTGCGGACATTCGAGAGTTGCTAAATTTCCCTGGATAAAACATGTATTTTTGACAACATTCATGCGTATTTTTCCTTGAAGTTTTCAGATATTTTACATTAAATTGCGAACAAAATTTTCTAAAATTTTGATGAGGAAAAATATTCACAACTTTCCCAGTAATTTTGGTCTTTATCGGAGGAAACTTGGCAACGTCTGAAGGCTCATACAGCGTTCTTTTTTAGCACGGTAGATGCGTGGGGTATTTCCGCGATTCCTTATAGGAGGTGGGAACTTGAACGCAAGGGTATGACGGTGTAACAAATTGTATAAGCTCAACTGCATACGGTTCCGGAGACTTGCAACGTCGCAAATTGAAATGTGATTTTTTTTTTTTTATTTTTTTTTACCTCGCCATCGGTGATGAGAAACTATGTAACTGTGCACAATAGTGTGTAATTTCAGGGAAAATCGTGATATTCTGCGATCAAGTCGAAGCGATGTGCTCTTGAAGGCGCTCTAAGCAACTATTCCGCCACAGAAGTGTTGCACAGTATCAGACGAAAATGAAGGCGCGCTGCCGCATGTAAATTGATTAGTATCGTTCACCACTGGGTAGAGTCCGGCTGATCATACGATATTCAGCTTCTGTTCGATCGATTTTTATGATACTTAGTGCCAAGGGAAATTTTTAGAAATTCAAAGGCTCGAATCTTACCGAATTTGGCAAATACTGAGAAGCATCGCTACACTAAAAAAAAAAAAAAGTTTGTGAGAATTGGCTTGGGAAATATCCAGATTTCACTGCGGTACAAGCTTTCTTTTTTTTAATAAATTGATTGTTCTCATATCAACGTTCTCATTTTTTTTGTTTCAGCAAAAACATTCAAACGATGCAAGAAACTAGACCCAAACTTGCCAGACTGCCTAAGAACAGCAGTTCAAGGTGTGATTCCTGAGTTTGTCAAAGGTAAGAACACATCAAGTGGATGACTATAGACGTAACTTGACGTATTTTTCTGGGGACTCATGATTTCGGGGATTGTGACCAATCGGGCCGAACATTGAAACCTTTAATTTCAAAAATACGTTTTATCAGGAGAGAAAAAACCTGTTCCCCATTTCAAATAGGTTTCAAAAAATAAGGTGAGGTTGGGTAACTGGGCAGTACCCTCTGTATTTCTACCAGATTAGTGCAAAAATTGTTTTCACTGTTGGTATACCTTCATTATGACGTAAACCATCTAGAACATGTAAACATAACTTCAAAAAAATTTTTTATGGTGAATGGTGAAGTGCCGAAAATTGTACAGCTTTTTTTTCAAAACAACGCCAGAGGTGGTCCCGAAAAGAGCCTCATATCTCACTCCCAGCAAGTATTTTATTCAACTTTGACAATTCTTCTTCATGTATGATGTATTTGTGGAATGCGTGAGTGATTACAACGTAATTGGATGAAAATACTGGCTGCAAAGGGTTGATGCCCAGTTACCTTGAAAATTTTCCCTTTGTGGGGTAACTGGGCACCCACCCCAAGGTAACTGGGCAGGTGGCAGTGGTGGCACCTGCCCAGTTACCCATTGCAAGGTTGCTGTGCTTCGGTGTTTGTTTACTTCTGAAAATTTCAAAACTAATTGACTATTGTGGATTTTTAAGTGCCAAAGACCAATAATCAGGGTTCCCAGCACACTAAACTTCTAACTTAAGTCAATTATAGCATAACTTAAGCATTACTTAATTACATTTTTGCCGCTAACTGTTACGACATCACTTTTAACGACTTAAACATGGTTATATAAATTCAAACTAGTCGTGATTAGCTCGCTTTGCGAGCTGACACGTCTAGCCGGGGAGTGCCCCTGGACCCCAGTTCCACGCTTCGCGACGAACTTGCGACTCGCTCCGCGAGCCGCCACCGCCCCGCACAGTTTTTAACATTGATGAGGAGACAACATCTATGTCTTAATCTTCTTTTTCACCAAGTTGTACAGAAATTGATGTTCTGGGAGTCCGGACCGCGTTTTCGTGCGGGGCCGCCATCTTGGATTTGGAAATGTTGAAAATCGGACCTAAAATTCTAATTTCCCTTCGAAATACACCTCCTAATACCGAATTTCACAAAAATCGATGGATCGGAAGCCGAGATAACAATTTGGACCATGTTCGCCATTTTCGATTTTTGAATTTTGAAAATCGGACCTAAAATTCTAATTTCCCGTCGAAATACACCTCCTAATACCGAATTTCACAAAAATTGATGGATCGGAAGCCAAGATAGCAATTTAGACAACGTTCGTCATCTTGGATTTTTGAATTTTGAAAACCGGACCTTAAATTCTAATTTCCCGTCGAAATATACCCCCTAATGCCGAATTTCACAAAAATCGATCGATATCCGGAAGCGATATAGCATTTTAGGCCACGGCCGCCATCTTGGATTTTGAAATTTTGAAAATCTAACCAAAAATTCGAGTTCCCCGTCGAAAAGTACCCTAGATCTCCGAGTTTCACAAAAATCGATCAAACAGGAGCCGACTTAGCATTTTAGGCCATGGCCGCCATCTTGGATTTTGAAATTTTGAAAATCTGAACAAAAATTAGAGTTTCTCGTCGAAAAATACCCGAGGATACCGAGTTTCACAAAAATCGATCAAACAGGAGCCGACTTAGCATTTTAGGCCATGGCCGCCATCTTGGATTTGGAAATTTTGAAAATCTGACCAAAAATTCGAGTTTCTCGTCGAAAAATACCCGAGGATACCGAGTTTCACGAAAATCGATAGAACAGGAGCCGACTTAGCATTTTAGGCCATGGCCGCCATCTTGGATTTGGAAATTTTGAAAATCTGACCAAAAATTCGAGTTTCTCGTCGAAAAATACCCGAGGATGCCGAGTTTCACGAAAATCGATATAACAGGAGCCGACTGAGCATTTTAGGCCACGGTCGTCATCTTGGATTTGGAAATTTTGAAAATCTGACCAAAAATTCGAGTTTCTCGTCGAAAAATACCCCTGGATACCGAGTTTCACGAAAATCGATAGAACAGGAGCCGTGGTAGCATTTTAGGCCACGGCCGCCATCTTTTGGATTTGAAAATTTTGAAAATCTGACCAAAAATTCGAGTTTCTCGTCGAAAAATACCCCTGGATACCGAGTTTCACCACCAATCAATCAAACAGGAGCCGACTTAGCATTTTAGGCCACGGCCGCCGTCTTGGATTTTGAGATTTTGAAAATCCGACCAAAAATTCGAGATCCCCCGAGAAAAATACCCCCGCTTACCAATTTCTACAAACATTCGTCGAAAAATACCTCCTAAAACCTTAAATTTCGTCTATAAGGCAGTGACGTCACGCAACAGGATTGAACCTGTTCGGCGCGATGCGCGTAAAGAACCGCGTATCTCCAATGTAATACTATATGGAGAAATAACTTTTCGCCCTTGCGGGCATCCGAGGCAGCGGATTTGAATGGGAATAATTTTAATCAACTCCTCATTACAATAGCTAAGCGTGTACCAATTTTAAAGGAAATCGCTTCGGCCAATTTTTCTCTAGGGGGGGCAGAGTGAGTGGGAACAGCAGCTTTATATAGAGTAATAATGAAATTCTCTGAAACCCTCATGAGAAGGACATTCTTTTCTGGCCAATGAGAATTACAAATAATGCCCCCCTTAAAAATTAAGGGAACTTTTTGGCGCCTGACTCTATCCCAGATCAGCCTTGCGGCTTAATTTTTTTTCATTTTTTAAAAATGTATCATGCTTAATCTCACTAAAAGTGGCCAAACAGTGTCCTGGTATACAATACTACTTTATAAGTAGTAATACAGAAAGTTCTAAGCATTTATCTACAAGGAAACAATTTTTTTTTACCGTTATTCAATTCTCAGATTTGAGGGTTTTTTTGCCGCAAACTGTTACGACATCATTCTTAACCACTTAAACATGTTTATATACATTCAAATGACATTTTCTTAAACCTTCATGAGCAGGACATCACCTTCTGGCCAATGAGAATTAAAAATAATGCCCCCCTCAAAAATTAAGGGGGGGTAGTCCAGTTACCCCACGACGTTGGGTAACTGGGTGAAAAAAACGGGAAATTTTTGAAAATTTGTGGGAAAAAATTGAAAGATGAAATTCGACTTTTGACTCTTCCTACATTTAGACAAGGTGTTGTACTTACTAAAAAAAATTTAAAAGTAGCCTCCACTGTCAATATAATGATGGGAAAAAAATCATGAAGTTGAAATTTTGACATTTTTCTCCGAACTCCTGCCCAGTTACCCAACCTCACCGTAACTAAAAAAAAATCATGCCAACAGGGTTATGTTTTCACGGAGCATCCATCTCGTAAGACATATTAACGGGCACAGTTGTTAATATTGATGGAAAACTAACGAAAATCTTTCGATTAACAGTTCTTGGCATTACGCGCCCATCTCACCATGCAGCTTATTAGATGATATCCTTGTTTTGCTAGGTGTAGTAGCGCAGGATGAAAAAACGCCTTCAAATGTTCGTATCTGCAATTTTCGAAAAATACTTCATTTCTCTTCTGCGGAATAACTGAAACGATTGTGGTGGCGCCTCCTATCAGATACCTACCGCGGATATTTATCATACCTAATTCTGTTATTAAATTAAGTATCATCGGTACCTATCGTTACTTATTGCCTATTGCCACCGGCAATAAATTGATAGCCCTGACCTAAAAAAGGTATCTTGATTTTCACAAAATTTCAAGCCAGAAAGTTGATTAGTTTTTGTTAAAAAAGTAAAATATCGGCAATTGGGCAAAGTCCGATGTAATTAGGCTACCTTGGGTTACATTTGGACTGCATTTTGCAATTCAGAACTATAGACTCTGACTCACCTGAAAAAACACTGATGTGCATAGGGTTACCTACCAATGGCACATATCGACGGTGAAACTACCAAACCACGTATCTCGTTTGCGGTGTTTAAAAATCTACGCTCACATTTTATTTTTTTGAAGTAGACCAAATCAATATCATTCCTTGAAATTTTCACGGAATTTTCTCCGCACAAAGAGGAAAAATCACAGAAATTTTCAAGACTGGATGTTAAGTAGTTTTTCATTTAAAAAATAAAGTATGACAGAAAGTCTGCGACGTCGCAAACCGAGATACGTGGTTTGGTAGTTTCACCGTCGATATGTTGTTTTTAAACCGGGCCAGAATTTATAGTAGCCGGGAAGAGGCGACGGGGCCGCCCCGTAAAGGGTTGGCGGCAGGGCGTTGACGAAGAGATGTTGCGGTGTCAGTTGCCCGATAACCTCTGGGAGGACAGGCATATATGGCGTTTGGGTGTCGTAGAACGCCAGAGTGCGTTGTAAAGGACTTTATACATATTGCAAAATGCAGTCCATTTGTCCACTTGCGCTGTTTCAAAAGTAAGAGAAACGGGAGAAAAGGGACGAGAAGGCGAACTCGGAGAACGCCCGGCATGGCCGAAACACCGATGAACTGATTCAGAAACTATGAGCAGGAAAGTTCCTTCAAATTAGATGCTAGGCAAGACGCAACACGCGCATCACCTTCACCAGTGAGCTTTACTCTTCGCGCTCAACAACCTTACAACTCCTTTCTGGTAAAAGCAGTTGTAAAGCCGTTGAGCACGAAGAGTACAGCTGACTAAAGATGGAGAAAAACTGCACTTACCTAAACTTCTTGTCCTCCAAGGCCTTCATTTGATCAAACTTCGGTATTCTAGTAATTTTAGAGTATGATTTAAATTCCTAAGAAAACTTGCCAAAATCGTCATGCTAAAGGATCAACCTCATACCATTAATACCAAAATAGATGCTTACACTCACTCTCATAAGAATGAATTTCTGTTTTAAAGGTGTACCAAGTTTAGGAGTTCTACCATTGGATCCTCTGGAACTGAAAACTTTGGTGATCGAACAAGGAGATGGCCCTGTTAGCATTAAACTGGATTTTAAAGATTTGTTCATACATGGGATCGCAAGCGCTGTCATTACCTCTGTAACGTGAGTTCAGTTCTCTAACAATTATTATCAATACGAAAAAGAAGTGTACCAAAATATCACTCACTTTTTCATCAGTCTCGTGAAGCTTACCTATTCACCTATATTGAATACTAGTCAGGAAAAGAAAGTAGATAAGTAAGGACTCACAAGACATGTCGGGCCCCTCAATAGAATTTCAAACAGATCTTGTTGATCATAATGAAAACATCGTTTAACTCGTTAAGAAAAATTGGAATTTCCGTTGAAATCGGTCAGTTCAATTTTCCTGCTTGTGAAACGAACGGAAATTAATTTTGGTCAAATCATCAGTACGCGATTGGTGAAGCTCTAGTCGACCAGAAGGCAGGAAAAAATGAAATATTTCCCGAATTTCAGCGGGGTTCACGAGACACATAGCTGCGTTTAAGCAAACTACAAACAGTTCATTTCAGAAGAGGTCACACAACTCGCATCCTAAAGTACAGAGAAATGCTGCATTAAATTTCACTGTCGGCGCTGATTTCCCATCAAGCGCTGCAAGTAAAATGCAATGGCCAATCAGTGTTGAGTGCAGTTTGGTAAACAAACATATAAGTCAGAGAAATTACTGGAAAATACTTTACTGAAAAAGTTCCCCTTTTCTGATCACAAATCATGTAAATTTGTAAAAGTGAAAAAAACTGAACTTGCTAAAAGAATCTGTCCATTCAAAAAAATGCTGACATGAATTTTTGCCCAATTGTATTCAAGACTATAGTTCTTAGTGTGAGCAGGAGGTTTGAGAAGAGAAACGAGAAATAAGTTTATTTAAGTCAAAAAAAACCAACATAAGCCATTTTCATTTTTATATTATGTTCTGGGTGAAAGCTGAGGAAACATAATATGCTGTGTTGTCATCACACGAAGGCTCTCGTTCACTATTCAAATTCAAATCGCTTTCTGAGTCACATTAACCTTTGACACCCTTGGTATGCAAGGTTCTTCGAATTTCAAACACATCTATTGATATTTCTTGTTTACAGGTCTAATCTGAAGAACTACACCATAAACCTTACAGCAGAACTGAAGAAACCAATCATCTTAGATGGAATGTACAATGTTCATGGTAAAGTTCTGATCTTGCCGATCACCGGTACTGGAAAATGTAAACTAGTGTTAGGTGAGTCAAATGCCAGACTAATTTTCAAAATTTCTAGTAGCTTTCCTTACCATGATATGACCTCAGTATTAAAATGGATGGTCATTTGACACAGAGAAAACAGCGAATGGGATGAGTGCATTTTTCGTTTAGAGGGGACGCGGGATAAGTGCGACCTACCATCACTTTAAGCCCAACTGCTGGCCTCAACTTGGCTCAACTGAGCTGAAAATTTCAGAAAACGTTCATGAAGGTGGGAGACAAACACTGATAAATTTTGAAGTTATTCAGAGCACTCCTCATGGGTTCAAGTAAAATCCAGAACTTTAAACTGGTTTTTTCGAAATAATAAAAACTGCACATATGCGCCTTGTCTTCCAAGCCCCTCAATTGATGCTGTTGTTTGGAATTTCACGACAATTTTATTGCGTGGCGTGGATATTGTATCTTTGGAGTTTATGAAAAGGACAAGTAACATAAATGTTTGTACTTAATGTTTAGCAAAATTAGCTGAGACTGTATTTTTTTGTTACAGAGGGATTCAGAGCAAAGATTGGTATCAAAGGAAAAGCCATCACTAAAAACGGAATAAAATACATGGAAGTACAGACATTCAAATTTGGACTGAGCACAACTAAACTTAGGGTGAAATTAGAAAACTTATTCAATGGAGATAAAGCTTTAGGTGAGTAGGAATTGTGTTTTTGATGAGCCATAAGAGTCATAATGATATGTAGCAATCATTCTCTGCTCGCAGACGGATTCGCCCAAATTATCGATATGGAGCAAACTTGCAAATTGAAACAAAGTACTCTGCAGATAATTCTGCTAAACCTAATAGAATATGCAAGATTTTAATTTCAATCAAAGAGAAAATGTTTTCCCTTTTTTATCTAACTCCACGGTCACCCTGATACTGTTTCCAAATGGTCAGAATACAGAATTGAAAACACAGAAACAATATGCCCCTCAGCAGACTGCGATTTATCCATCCACTTTTTGGAGGGTCAACTTTTTAAACACTTATTCTTAACAGTCTGTGTGACTGTCAGTGAAATCTGAACGCATCTATAATTTTCAAAATACTCTGGATTAGAATGCATTTTCATCCTGCCTACGGACAATAGTTACATCAATGATTCATTTCAAGGACCTCATTTTAATCGTCTGTATATAGTTTCTATTTGGAAATGCATATTCAGTCATAAAATGTTTTACAAATCAATAATTGAGGATTTACTTCGAAAATCCTATTGCTTTTTTGTTTCATTTAATTGTTTCTATGTATAATGATTAATGTTTAATCATGTTACAATATCACATGTTGTAGCTGCACAATATATTTATGTTGCTCATGATTCTACTTTTGTGTTTTTCAGGAGACAATATGAATGTTTTCCTGAATGAAAACTGGGAAGATATTTTAAAAGAACTGCAACCTGGTTTCGAAGATTCTCTCAGTCAAGCGTTCCTAGAAATCTCAAACAGAGTATTTACCAAAGTACCATTTGATCAAATATTCCTTGATTGAATCTAGTTTTAGTGCCTTAATTTATTCCTACCAATTAGCTTTAAGAAAATAAAAAAAAAAACAGAAAAATGAATAAAAAATAAAAAAGTGAAAATCGAATTTTTAATGAGTTTTATTCAACACCCAGCACCATTACAAGGAATGTTTGCTGACAAAGTTTTCAAAAATCTATCTTCCTACTTTGTTCCACATAGGTTTGAATTTTATTTTTTTCAGTATCACTGAGCACAGAGCTTTCCTAAAAATGAGAAAGTCCTTATTTTCTCCTTAAAACTATGAGAAACAGAGCAAGGCAGTTAGAACTACTCTGTTAGAATGGTATTTACCTGACAATAATGGAAAAAACAACCCAGGCAGTTTTGACCCTCTTGTTGACTAATGCCGATGACAAATGGCTCTTCAAATAGAGAGACAAAATGGCTTCAAAACAGAAAAAACACAATTTTTTTCTTAATTCTGATCACCATAAGAGTTTTAAACATTTAAGAACTGCCTACCTGAAAGATTAACTGACATCCGTCTTTTTCTTGAACACCACTGATGAGACAAGACTCCCAGTTTTACCTCCAAATTTAAATGCTGGGGCTGGTATCACACATGCCATTTTAAAATCTGCAAAAAATAATTAGAATCCAGAATACACTCAAAATGAATGGCGAATTAGAAATACTTAAAGTAAATGTAGATGAATAAAAAAATATTTGATGCTCTTCTATGCAAATTAAGCAAGACTTTTTTAAATGACATAATCTCTCCTCATTTTGGGGCATCTTCATCAGAGCTCAGCTTGCTCTGTGTTTGGCACTCCTCTATCTCGCAGTTTTTGATTTTTAAAATTTTGATCATCATAAATTATTACGATAAATAAAAAATTTAGGATCCAAAAAAACTTGAGATGCCTGAAAAGACGTAAATACTCTTGAGGTCAATATTCCAGCCTTCAAAATAATAAAAAGCATAGAGTAATTATTTTTGAATGGTAAATTTCAGCTGATTACAAAATTTTTGCAAAGAACTATTTATATAGCTTAGAAATATTTTAAAAAATGTCATTGTAGAAGCCTCTTGATGCCGATGCAAGAATGCAGGATCATGGAGTAAAAATTTTCATTTTGCCTTGTAGATCATTTATTAACATACTCCTCCTTAAGACTGAAGAAAAGCTTTGAAAATTTTCAGCTTCATTTTAAAAAAAATTGATAAGTTTCATGCGGTTTGGTTTAATGTTGATTACCTTCACTAAAATGATCAAGCAATTCTTCCGCAGTCCAATTACACGATGTAATGATAAAAACTCCTTCAGGTGCTAAGATTTTAGAAACGTTGACCATGTACTTTTTCCTTTTTGCCGAGGCATTGTCTGGACATAAACTGATAGCATCATATGTACCCTTATCATGAACAACAACATATTGTTTTGAAGGGAAGTCATCGCTCAGTATATCACAACTCTGGAATTAAAGATGAAAAAAATGTGCAATTAAAAAAAAGATAAAATTCACCACTTGACAGTGGCTAAATCAATGGTAATGTTGTATCCATTTCTTTTTAAATCTACCTCCATTCCCAACCGTATTGAATATCAGTTCCCAGAGCTCATACACAGCACAAAGACAGTAAGGCTTCTTCCTAATGTTATGCTCCTTAAATTGATTTTTAGGCCAAAAAAAAAAAAAACAAAGTTGGGAACGAACTATAGAGAAGGAACTATCTCCTCTACTAATCAGCCATCATGAAAATGCTTGTCTGCAAGAGTTCGAGTGTGCATCAAATATCCTTACCACTATTTTGACAACTTAAGATCACGATTTTTCTTTAAGCACGTACATTGCCCTCTTAACTATTTATTAAGTTCTAAATGCTCTTATTTCTCTTCATTCAATGTGAAAAGATTCTGAAAGTTTTCTACGTCCATACTTTTGAGCTTTCTCGTACTCAAATTGTTAGTGCTATCCTTCATGAAAGAGAAAAAACCTGGTATTTGCCATTCAAAAGGCTGCTACTTTGCTAAAAATAAATGGTCCATTCATTTCATTGGCTTGCCATCTAATCCATTGGATCTGAATCCACAGGAAAAGACTCAAAAAGCTTAGGTAACTCAAATGACCTGGCTGCTTACTCAGTCTATGAAAAAAGACCCAAACTATTTTAATATTTATTTATTTTTTGATATTTCATTGAAAGAAAACTACTCACCTCTAATTTAATGCACTCTATATCTTGAGCTTTAACAACAGCTTTGGCTAAATCAACAGCTTTCTGACTGTAATCTACACCCGTCAAATTTGTGTAGCCTTCTCTAGCCTATAAATAATGAGAAAAAATTTAGTGAAAATTTAGAAAAAATCTCAACATCGCTTAAGTAGGAACGTACTGCTTGGAACCTACATGCAACACTTGACATGAGGGATTAAGTCTGCTCACTTTTTCAACAGCAAAGGGATTTTTCTACAGATCAAACACAGCCAGTTATTTTTGTCAATTATCTCACAAGGCTAATAATAATAGAAAAAGGAGGCTCCCCCCATTACGCTACCCATAATTGGATTGACATGAAGTTTGGTGCAAAAATGTAACTTCGACATAAAATTGTAAGCCTTGCAAAGTCAAAATTTTTAGTGGTTTCACGATACAAAAGAGGGGAGGAGGCCCGTTACAGTGGCCTTAAATGGCAGAGGATCAATACAGAAATAGTTCATCAAATTTGTACTTATGAAGATTGTTAAAGCCAAGTTTCATGTTCCTCTTGCATCAGCATATTTTACAAAGGAGAAGAATGTGTGGGAGTCCACTCTCTAAGAATGAGACAAAAAATAAACCTTGAAAATAATTCTATTTTGCTCAACTTTGGGGTTAAGACTCCTTTTACAAAAGAGAACTCAATTTTATTTGGGCTAGTTGAAAGTTTGGAGGACATTTTTTCCAAAAAACAACTATGTAACGGGACAGCTTTATTCTCCTTCTTTTTCTTTCAGTGTACATCACTTTTTTACAGTAAAATTAGGTAGTGCCACCCCCAAAAATGTGTTAATTTTGTTCAAATTTGGGGTGAAAGCTCCCTGTATCTGCTGGAACTTACTTTCATTTGGGCTGGATGAAAATTGTTATGTAAATTTTTCAAGGAGCACCGCAGTTTCAAGATACAGCGCAGCAGAGGTATATAGGTATGAATAAATGCAGTGCTTACCAATTCAATGAGCATCATTCCATTTCCGCACCCTAGATCTATAATAGGAGCATCTGAAGGTATTTCTTCATTTCGAGAAAGCCAACTGAAACATAAATGTAAGAGTGATTAGGATTTCATTATGCTGGGAGTGAGATTAAAACTGCATCACAAATATGTTAATTCACACAAAAAATACATGACCATTGTAAGAATCGAAATCTGAAAGTTCGAAAAAAGAAAAACTTACAAGGTTTTGAAAGCATCAAGGAGTAGGGATGCTTAATTGTCACTATAAGAAGATGAATAAATGCCTTCGAACTCTGTGACTGTGAGCAAGACTTTTGAGCATTACTTTTTGGTAGGAATCCCTAAAAAATTGCAGAATGCATGTGAGGTTGCCTTACACTGAACCATGTATCGACAAAGGTAGTTTAAATTTTCCAAATCGGTGAAAGTAGTATTTTTCAGTATGTTATCAGCTTTTAGGAAAGTCCAAGAAAATCCGAATAATGTACAATGGACTTATTATCACCAAAATCTGGTTTCTAATTGAACAGACCTTGTATACAGCTGGGTAAAGGAAATAGAAGAAATAGAACTTAGCTTCTCACTGCTCTGCAGCCAAAGATGCTGTAAAAATTCACTTATCACAGATATACGGATATAGATTCACATTTGGTCCAATTACATGCTTAAGTGCAATAGTACATTAAAATGAATCAAGAAATATTTTTGAAAATTTGTGATGAATGGGATAATCACGGGTGAAATGAAATAAAAATAAGTAACACCATTTCAGCCTGAGAACGCCACAGGCGAGGACGTAAGATGATATATTCAGCGAAGAAGTACAAGCAAGTGAGAGCCAAGGCGGATAAAGAATGGTGGTCGCATTTCGATTTTGGCTGCCATCTTGAAGCGTTGTGACGTCAGGAGGGTACGGGTTATGCCGTGCAATCCGAGGTTGAGTCGGCCCCCCCGGCCTCGGCCAGCCCATGTACCCGATGTACCCGATACCGTGTGACGTCCAGAGGGTACGAAATGCGACCACCATTCTTTATCCGCCTTGAGTGAGAGCCTAACCTTGAGCCGTACACAACAGCCAATCAGGTGGTCCGAGCGGACTACCAACCTAATATGACTACACATACTACCAACATAATACATCATATATCGAGCTCTAACACTCCCCCTTAATTCTATCACACAATGATGGAATTACTCAGACAATTTGAAAGAGAACAACAATGGGCCTGTTGCATGCAAGAGATATAGCCGCGCGAATAGACTTTTTAGAGGTTGACTGACACAAAAATTACGATGGTCACATTAAAAAAGTCTGAAATACACTCCTTACTGCGCAATTTGCGTTGATAGGAACGCGCTTTTTCAAATTTCCCGCGCCTGGGGGCAGTTTTCTAATCACCGGAAACGAGCAAACGGCGGGCTCGGTGATTTCCGGAAGATGCCGAGTCGTTGTTGTTGTTGTTATTTTTTCCTTCAGTTTGTTTACAAACCCAACGTGATTTCTTATAAAGGTCCATATACGCTTTATGCGGTAATCAAATCTATCAACTTTTAAATATCCAACGCAATCCTTCTACATTTCATTTCACGATTTCACGAGCTCCGATTTTTAGGTTATGTTGTCAGTTTTAGTTGACCGGAAATAGCCGCGAGTTGCCGTTAAAAAACTGCCCCCAGACGCGGGAAATTTGAAAAAGCGCGTTCCTAACAACGCAAATTGCGCAGTAAGGAGTGTATTTCAGACTTTTTTAATGTGACCATCGTAATTTTTGTGTCATTTAACCTCTAAAAAGTCTATTCGCACGGCTGTATCTCTTGCATGCAACAGGCCCATTTAAGCACTACAGGCTAAAAATAATGAATTTGGTAATAACACACAAAGAAAATTGTAGGCAAGATGTAAGACCACTAGGACTTATTTAGAGCTATACAAGCATTGACTTTAAAAAAAAAACTAAATGTTTTTGTTACTATGAGTTTCCTGAAGATCTTTTTAACTATGCGTGGTTTTCAAAGAAATACCCGATATTGAACTTACAAGAAGAGATTTGACATTTAGCATGATCAAGTATATAAAATTTGATTAAAATTTGTGCCTTCGTTTAATGAGTATGTATGTATTGTTTTTCTGTGTTCCAAAACCAAACTTAATTTGATTGAAAATTGTTTCGCCAAAACAAAAAAAAAACTAGGTGAATATAGAGATTACATCTAAGGGAAAATAAAGTAAATTGAATTCCATGAAACCTTGAGTATCATTCAATTTAAACTAATCGTTCTAAAACAAAAGAAAAACTAAGTGAGTATATAGAAATTACACTTAAGGAAAATAGAGTGAATTGCATTCCATGAAACATTGAGTATTATTCAATTTGAATTAATCGTTCTAAACAGATTTTGTAATATGTTCAAGGCCAAGGTAAGGAATGAATTTCAAAAATAGCTGCTTCCCCAAACCTTTTGTGAGAATGTCTGCAGGTTGATTCATAGTACTAACATACTTGAGTCTTAACCGATTATTTAAGACTTCATCTCGTAAAAAATGATACTTAATATCAATATGCTTGCTCCGACGAGTTTCTAAATTTTCTGCAACAAAGATTGCTGATTGATTATCCTCACAGACCAGAGGAATAGAAAGATTTTGGTCGTGGAACAGAATTGGAAAGGGGTTAGTGTTCTCATCGAACACTTCAGTCAAAAGTTGAGACAGAAACTTAAGTTCTTTAGCACATTCACTGAGTGCTACATACTCAGCCTCACAAGTAGATAAAGCAACATTCTGCTGTTTCTTTGTTTGCCAGAGAACATTATTACCATACAATTGAATAAAAAATCCACTAATGCTTTTACGATCCATAGGATCAGATCCAAAATCAGAATCTGCAAATGCTTTGAGCTTATGTTCTACAGATTGTTTCTTAAAAACTAAACATAAATTGTTTGTGTTCTTGACATAACAAAGGACATTTTTGAGGTGTTTCCAATGAAGTTGGGTAAAATTACTTTGATAACGGGCAAAGAAATGTACTGCAAATGAAAGATCAGGTCTAGTACAAGTAGCAAGATACATAAGACTTCCTAAAAGTTGTCTGTATGGAACATTTTCCGGACAAATTTTCTCCTCTGTTTCCTTACCTTTTTCATTACATTCATTTTTACATTTAGTTACCTTAAGGTTTAAATTCGGTTGTATGGGTAAATCTTGATTCTTACAGTTAGACATATTGAATTGACGAAGAATTTTGTCACACATCGATTTTTGACTTAATGTAATGGAATTTTCTGAACGGAATATATCCATACCAAGAAATTTGAAGTGAACTTTTGTATCAAAGCGTTTCATGTCAAAAGTATTCATTAAATCTGAAATAAGATTTTCCAAAAATTCTTCATCCTTTGAAAATAAAAGTATGTCATCAACCCATACTAGAACATAAGTACCATTTATATAGAATAAACAAGGATCTGTTTGGGATCTACTGAAGTTTAATTTTATTAAACGCAAAGTTAACTCATCATTCCAGCACTTGCTAGATTGCCTTAAACCATAAAGAGCTTTTCTAAGACGACAGACTTTGTTCTTTCGATTTGGGACATTTAACCCTGACGGTAAACGCATGTACACACTTTCTTTTAACTCCGAATGTAAAAATGCTGATTTAACATCTAATAATTCTATTTGTAAATTGTGTTCAAGTGCAATTGAAAACATTAATCGAATTGTAGACATGCGTGGAACTGGTGAAAACAAATTTTCCACATCATTTTGTAAAAAACCTCTAGCTACCAGTCTAGATTTCTTTACCAACACGTTATTTACCACTTTCTCAGAGAAAACCCATTTACTGTCTATCAACGTTTGACCTTCTGGAACTTGAGTGATGCTGACAATATCCCAGGTGTGGTTCTTCTCCAGTGCTGTGAATTCTTCTTGAATGGAGTCTTCCCAACCCATTTGTACCGCTTCCTTGTATGACGAAGGTAATTCTGACGGAAGTTGTCCTGAGAATAAAGCTGTCATCAGACCCGTTTCAAAATCTTCCAGATACCGAGGGAGTTTTCGTTCTCGTGTTCCTCTTCTTACCGAAGCTTCTGTTTGTGTGGTTTCATTTGTATCAAGGTGCACATGTATATCTTCTGTTTGTAAATCTCCTGTTTCCTTTTCTTGAATTCCAAATTTTGTTTCATCAAATCGTACAGATCGAGAGGTTGTGATTTTTCGTTTTTCAGGATCCCACAGGCGATAACCGTTAGCAGTGTATCCAAGATGTACCATGGGCTTGCTTCTGTCAGCTAGTTTTCCTTCTCTGTCTTCTTTAGGGATGTGAGAATATGCTAGAGATCCGAACACTCTCATGTTACTGATATCAACTTTTCTGCCATACCATAATTCAGCAGGTATCTTATTCTGTAAAGCTGATGATGGAAGACGATTGATAGTGTAAACCGCAGTACAGACAGCATCTGCCCAAAACTTCTTGTCTAGATTTGCTTGTTTGAGCATACACCGTGCCATATTCATCACCGTCTGATTCAGTCTTTCAGAAACACCGTTCTGTTCAGGATTTCTGGGAACAGTGTAGTCCAAATGAATCCCTTTCTGGCGGCAAAATTCTTGAAGTCGGTTGGAACTGTATTCACCACCATTATCACAACGGAGATGTGATATCTTCGCTCCATGTTGAGCAGTTACTAATGCCTCGAACTCAAGGAACTTTTCGAAGACATCAGATTTGCTTGCAATGGGGTAAACAAAACTGAAATGTGTATAGTGATCAGTAAAACTCACATAATATCTGTATCCATTATGTGTCTCTGGAGTGATAGGTCCGGCAACGTCTGAGCTGACAACTTCTAGAACAGATTTCGGTTTCCTTTCTTCAGCGAGAGGCTTGAAGTCTTTTCTGGTCATTTTACAGGTGACGCACACTTCACATACCGCACTTTTGCATGGAAAGTGGGACGAATGACCCATCCGTTGATGCATTAGCTCACTGTTAGCCACGAGATTTAAAGAAGCTTTTAGATTTACGCGCACTAGATAAAGGTTTCCTTGTTTTACACCGTGCATAAATGGTTTCCCATTTTTAAGAAAGACTACTTTGCCGTCTGCGAAAATGACTTCACAGCCCTCCCCCTCAATTCTGGGGACGGATAACAGATTATACTTTAAATCTTTGCACACAAGGACATCATTAATTCTTAAATTTCGATTTTCACTTCTTGCAAAAAGGGTACCGCGTTGATTAGCACATATTGAGTGATTTTTGTTAGCAATTGTTAAATTGAACGTGACGTCTTCTTTATTAGTTAAATATTTCCCGACTTCCGCACTCACTATGCGGTGAGTCGCACCACTATCAACTACGAAGGTAACTTCATGAGCTTCCGACAAACAGGCAACCGCACTGCCTTCCAGAGAACTTTCCATGGCAGTAACGAAAGCGATTTCCTCACCATCTTGCTCAGAACACAGATGACTTTCTCTCTTTCCTGAAGATTTCCGAGAAGAACAGTCTTGCTTTTGGTGACCCTTCTTTTTACAAAAGTGGCACTTGTAAGGGAAGTAACTTGAAGAAGATGAAGAAGAACTGTCTCCACCATCATTACGATGCTGGTTCCTGTTAAACCCATTTCCATCTTGGTTTCGCTTCTTGTTAAAGCCCTTGTTCGATTTACCGGAGAAGAAAGCAGTATTCCCAGGTTCATCTGTTTGATGACTTATTTCTTCCTGAAACAGCTTAGACTTAACGAACTCAAGTGAGATATTCTCGGGGTTTTGTGAATACAAAATATCAATCGAGGAGGTTACATGACGAAATTTCTGCGGCATTGCTAAGAGTAACATTGATACAAGTTCTTGGTCATCAATGGTAGCTCCAGCTAATTTCAATTCGTCAACCTTTCCAAAAAAGATTTCAAAGAAGTCTTCCAGCTTACCAGATGTGTACCGAAGTCCCATGAGTTTCCTTTTCAGGTCTACCTGCGCTGCGAGGCCTTTCCTTGCATAGGTTGCTTCAAGTGCATCCATCATACCCTTAGCTGATGACTTTCCTCTAATGGAATTGAGTACCTTGTCAGAGACACATTGCACGATGATTTCCCTTGCCTTCACGTCTAGCTCGGCGAAGTTATCATCGGACTTTTCCTTGGGTCTTTCCTCTAGAACAGAGAGCAGCTTATCCTTCTCCAACTTGAGACGAATCCTGAAATTCCAGTCAGCAAAATTCTTACCATCGAACCTATTCAGGTTGATAACGTTCACGTTTTGAACTGAAAACATGCTAGACCGATACCATTCACTTTCGCACATTATCCAATGGTTAGGAATTGGCTAGACCGACGCCATTACTCCACCATTGACGTATAATACAATCTAGACCGCGCATTACGAAATTCAAGCGAGACGATAGGCAACCCAGCAACACACAGCAAGTGTACCGGCGAGACAATGGTGGAATTCGTGGAAATGCCAGTCTTGCCAGTGCCGTTGCCTGATACGGGTACACTTAGCTCGTATATCCGGCGGTATCAACTAGGCTGAAGGCGCGTCTTTACCCCCCTAGCTGTCTTACCTTCCCCGCCTAAAGTCGGGCCCAATGCGCGGTCTAGATTGTATTATACGTCAATGTACTCCACACGGCAAACACGAGGACCGACCGGGACACACAGGCTTCCGAATTTCGCGTTACTTGCCATTCGTCAGAATTTCCGCGAGCGATGAACGATACGACGGCCCATAACCTGATGAATGGGATAATCACGGGTGAAATGAAATAAAAATAAGTAACACCATTTCAGCCTGAGAACGCCACAGGCGAGGACGTAAGATGATATATTCAGCGAAGAAGTACAAGCAAGTGAGAGCCTAACCTTGAGCCGTACACAACAGCCAATCAGGTGGTCCGAGCGGACTACCAACCTAATATGACTACACATACTACCAACATAATACATCATATATCGAGCTCTAACAATTTGCTTTGATCTTTGACGCTTTCATTTCATAACCATCCAAAATTCCAAAATACTCAATGGCAAACCTTATGATCCTCATTTCAATGTCTTCACCAAACCAAACTTCACCCACGTCTCCATGATCAGAAAAATTTCTCATCTCTAATTGATAAGTATTCTCCCAGCTGCAATTAAATAACAGAAAGAAAAACAAATTAATACTGGTGGGACAAGACAAATTTAAAATGCAAATGGCAACAATGAAAAACATACGAAGTGACAATACTAAAATATCCAAGGGTTAATAAAAGGTTAATTAAGTATTGATTTTTAATTATTTTCTTAAAAGTTTTTGATATCAGTATTAATTCTCCTAATTTGGTAAGTTGTGTCAAGTTAAGAATTCCAGAATGCGAAACTAGGAATCGTACTTAATTGTTTAGATTCATTGTAAGTTAGTGAAATTTTCCTCAACACTCTATTTTTTGTCATTTTTTCAGGCTTTGCAATAGTCTCCCTGAGGATCTTTTTGATTTGTCAATTTCTTGTTTCAAGGTCTTGGTTAGAGCCAACATTGGTTCTTCTTGGATCTCTTGTCTAACTTTGTTCTTATATCAGAAATGTATGGAGGACTTTTGGCTGGTTTTTCTGTCAATTTCTGCAGAAAAATTATGTTTAGTTTTTGACTTTCAGCAAAGGATACTTTCGACTTATTGCATTCAATAGGTCTGGAAAATGTGTACAATTTTAAATCTATATGGATGCATTTGGAGGCTCCTGTGACACAGATTTTCAATCTATTTCTGCGGAAAAATTATGATTACTTCTTTCAAACAGAGATTTGGACAAGGCTAGGCTAGAACTGGGGAAAGAATAGACAAAAGTCACATCAGTCTAAACGCATCAATCATCAGTTGGCCCATTGGTTGGCATGTACTTAAATATCTGTTAAAGGTGCAATTTTTGGTTGTGATATTTGTCTATTTTTTCTTTCTAGCCATCTTAGAATAAGGCACGGATCATCATGGAGTACATGAAGTCATAATGTAAGTGGGAGGGCTGGCGCCACTTTTTAAGCATTTTCCATGTCCCGAATTCCGAGACTCCTGTGTGATGCAGGGTCACTTTTTCAATACCTGATAGATTATTTGCGATACACGGGTACCCGGCCGTCCGATGTAAACAAAAGAGATAAGAATTACCACGTATTCCACACCGCCATTTTGGATAAAACATGTATCGAAAAAGTGACCCGAGCTCCGCGCACACCAGGTCAGGAACTTGTCGAGCAGAACATGGCGCCAGCTCTCCCATTTACATTAGGACTCTATGTACTCTATGCAGATCATTTATTAGGCAGGCCTCTACAGTTAATTATATCAAGATTGCAGTTACATGATAAAAATTAGAGGAAACATGTGATGACTTACTACTCCCGGGTGCCCAATTCACATGGTGTCAGTTCATTTTCGGGTTCTGACATGATTCAAAACTGAAAGAAGCTAGAGATTCAAACGGACGCTGTATTGTCTCCTGGAGATTCGCAGTGTGGACTAGGTCGTGATGGACGGATGGCGATTAAAACTTACGGAATGAGAGACATTGAATACCTTTGAAGAGTGCACTAAACAACAATCCAGAAGAGTGCGGCTCGTCTGTCTTCTACCCGAAACTGAGAGGACTTGTGGAAGGAATAGCGTTCTTAATTTTAATTGATAGTTTGGACTATATTACTAGATACATATGACAGCAAAAAACTTATGAATACTATTATTTTCGTTAGTTTTCAACTGTTTTAAACAAATTCAAGTGATAACTGTGTTTGATTGGTAAGCCGACCGTGACTCACATCAGACATCAACATAACCTCTAAAAAAAAATGCTGTTTGACTGTGCTGCTCTCTATTGCATTTTTTTTAAAATAAGCAGATAAACAAAACAGTAACCTCAAATTTTCGATCGCCTCCCGTGATGTGATGATATAACATGGTGTTGAGAGAGAAAGTGTCTTAGTGATCTATTTGAAGATAAAAATTAACATGTCTCCCCTTATTCACGTACCGTAACAAAGAAATTGTGTCTTCAAATATTCAGACAGTGTATCATTTTTTCTTCCGTGTCTCCTCACCCCTCAAAAATGTTCCTGTTCAGGAGCACCCAACATTGTGCAAGATACTTGTCCTCTACTGCTCATCTAAAGCGTGAGTATTTTGCGAATACTTTCATCTTTTCCAATTTGTCACTGCAGTATGAAGTCATGCATAGTGAGAGGAAGAACACTTCTTATGTATTTAAGTTCTTAATGGAGGAGTCTTTGTCATACCGCCAAATTTTAAGGCAATCTGATCATAATCAATCACCCTTCTTACCAAATTTACACTAATGACAAATATGTACCATGTGTGGATCACCAACATGTAAGTGTATGCGCAAATTGAATTACTTATTAAAAGATCATAGATTATGTTATATAGTTGAGCTATGATTAGTTGTCCTGACACCCACCACTCGAGCTGTGCTCTTGGTGGGGGACGGAGCCTACTCTGTAATGAAATTATATGTATTTGAAGAGAATCAAATTGAATTGAAAAATATGCACTAAGTATCTAAATATAGGAGGAAAGCTAGAACTCCTGGAAGTAACTCCAAGATCTTAGAGGTAGCTTTTGAGCTTTTTCTTCTTTGAAATTTCAGAGGACCGCGATGAAGCATGTTACTTCATCATCCGGATTCCCAGTCTGTGCGTTCTAGTGGAATGCTTGTATCTCTCTTTCAAGATGGTCGCCTTGCAATTACATGCAATCTTAACCTCAAGCTAAACCACTTTGAACTGCAGATAACTCAATTCATGGATAAAAAAAAAGCCCCTAAGTTGTCAATGTAGTATAGCAAATATTCCATTACTCCTAAGTATTATGTTCTTACTTCAATGAAGCAATGGCGTCAGATAAAAATACTGACTTTTTTATTATTGTACACTCATCGGATACTTAATGTTATTTCAGTTATGGTCTTATGTTTATTCTTCTATTTAGAGGCACCCTGAATACTTTTATCTTAAGAATTTCTCCATTAAATCTGCCGAAGTAATTTGATCATGCTTTTAATCATTCCTGTTAAAAAATATTGTCTCCTGTAGTACTTTTCAGTGATCAGTGTTTCTTATTTTCTCCTAGATGCAGCAAAGATGGGAACCAAAGTTGAAAGTCCCATGGGAGAACTGGCAGGCAAGCCTCTTTATCTAGATGCACAAGCTACCACTCCACTCGTGAGTAACTATAAACTTTTACAATACCTACTTAACCAGCCATCTTTTCTTGAGCCAACTCACAGTACGTTTCTTGTTGTGGATGAGCATTAGGGTGGCCCAATTATACACAGCAAAATTTATTTTGCAAATTTTTTTGGTCTTACCCCCTAGAACTGTTCTATTTGATCAAAAAACACTCTCTGCCAAGTTTCAGCCAAATCGGATAATATTAACCCGTGCCGACAGAGCCATCTTTTTTATATGGGATTTTACATTGATAAACACTTTTTTCCGGAAAAATCCATTTTTCGAAAAATGTGTAATTTCTAGAAAAAATCTGAGGTCATATTCGGCTTCAGCAGGAAAAATTGAGTGGGGAAACATGTATTGGACACTTCAAAAAAAATTTTTTATCCCTCGTTACAGCGGCGAAACAACTGAAACATCTAGAAAGCGGTAAGTCTTAGGGTAAAATGACGGTGATAAAACTCAAATAATTACGTACGTCTGCATCTGAAAACGAAGCTCATCATTTGGTAGGTGTTACGAAAGTGTTTTTTTACGCTGAGTCCGAAAATGCTATCCATTTTTCTCTATTCCATCAGGATTTTCCGGAAAATTGATTTTCTTGTATAAAAAGAGGGTTTTCCGGGGAAAATTCAATTTTCAAGATATGAACCTCAACATGTGACCGATGTGTTTAATGTGTTTTTTAACGCTGAGTCCGAAAATGATGTCAAAGTTGCTCCAGTACATCGGGCTTTTCCGGAAAATCGATTTTCTTGTAGAAACAGGGTTTTCCAAGGAAAACTTAATTTTTAGGAAATGAACCATCGACTTGTAATAGATGTTTTTGGTGTGTTGTTTAACGGTGAATTCGAAAATCATAACCGTTTCCCTCTATTCCATTAAGAGTTTCTGAGGAACTAAATTTTTCCTGTAAAAAAGGTAATTTTCCAGAGAAAACTCGGTACAATCGATTTCCCGGAAAATCCAGATGCACTGGAGCAACTTTGACATCATTTTCGGACTCAGCGTTAGAAAACACATAAAACACACCCGTCACATGTTGAGGTTCATATCTTGAAAATTGAGTTTTCCCCGGAAAACCCTCTTTTTATACAAGAAAATCAATTTTCCGGAAAATCCTGATAGAATAGAGAAAAATGGATAGCATTTTCGGACTCAGCGTAAAAAAACACTTTCGTAATACCTACCAAATGATGAGCTTCGTTTTCAGATGCAGACGTACGTAATTATTTGAGTTTTATCACCGTCATTTTACCCTTATTTAGCGCTTTCTAGATGTTTCGGTTGTTTCGCCGCTGTAACGAGGGATAAAAAATTTTTTTTGAAGTGTCCAATACATGTTTCCCCACTCAATTTTTCCTGCTGAAGCCGAATATGACCTCAGATTTTTTCTAGAAATTACACATTTTTCGAAAAATGGATTTTTCCGGAAAAAAGTGTTTATCAATGTAAAATCCCATATAAAAAAGATGGCTCTGTCGGCACGGGTTAATATTATCCGATTTGGCTGAAACTTGGCAGAGAGTGTTTTTTGATCAAATAAAACAGTTCTAGGGGGTAAGACCAAAAAAATTCCGACATCGCCAAATTTGGGCCACCCTAATGAGCATTTTTAGCCTCATACACTGGAGAGATAATGCATGAGTTACAGAAAGCAAAATAACACAAATAGACAGGATAAAAAGTGGAGATTTTCAAGGTTAATGAATTTTACCAAAATTTGTCGAGGGAATTAGGAAACCGTCAGGATTTTTCATTTTCTAAATTGTATAGCAACCCTGAATTGAGTAACTAGGATTTTCTTTTTTTCAATTCTAGTCCCCGTCAAATAAGTTAACACACTTCTAGTGTGCGACAGAAGACCATCTGTCCTCAGTTTAGCTTTAAACATATGTACAAAATTCAAGATTTAAAAATTTGATTGCATTTGTTTCATGCATTACTCTGTATTTAGGAATCATTCCTCGTTTATGTAATGTAATCACATTTGTTGCACAAGTATTTGCTTTTAGGTGTACCTCAGCGTTCATTGTTTTGTCATTAATAATTTGTCCTCCTCCTTAAAAAAAAAATGAATAAAAAAAGGAAATCTTCTGTTGCATTTTCAAAGTGCGTATTATTACTATTAATTACTACTTCTTGTTACTTTTGGTGAACTATAGATCAAATTCCTAACAATGTGAAGAATAAAGTCTTACTCAGTTTGCTTCCTATTTTGCACCTTGCACTCATTTTCTGTTTGTCAAATTAAGATCACATCTTCTTTGTTGATGTGTTTTTATTTTCCAGATACTTTTTTCAATTTTTAATTTGTTTTTCGCATCGTCTAATGGTATAACTATCTTCTTACAGGATCCAAGAGTGTTAGATGCCATGTTACCTTTTATGACCTCCGCATATGGGAATCCTCATTCACGTACCCATGCTTACGGCTGGGAAAGTGAAAAAGCTGTCGAAAATGCTCGTGAGGTAAAATACTCCTTTCTCTTACTCATTTCACAAAATTAACATCCGAAGAGCTCCCAGAACAAAAAGTGATCCTGAAGTTTTGAGAATGAAAGTCGAGAAGCAGGCTTGCAGAAACTTTATGGCCGTTTGACTGGGGGGTCACATTTGGTGGCAAGCAAAAACAGGAAGACAGCAAAATGTAGTTTTGAAAACACCTCAAATGTCAGTTATTAAAATGCTGTGTTCTTTTGCTAAAATAAAGGACGTGTGTAAATTTAAGGAAAAGAGAAAATCATCCTTTGGAAATAGCAAAGGAAGAGATTTTTAAATGGGAAATCAAAGCATTTTCTGCATTCCTGCAGAAAACAACAAAAGTTAACAATGATTATACAATGCCTTTAGTTACAAGAGCAAGGTGAAAATTGCATTGTGTCGTTAGGAAACATTGTAAGTAGGTTTAGAAAGTATTCTACCCAGTAGTGAAGACAGCCCTGTCTGAATGTTTGTATAATAACCCTGAAATTGAAAGATCATATTGATTTTTTTCTGTAAAATTGATTAGTAGAGCACAGCATACCCAACAGCATTTTTAGCTTTGCTGCTGTATTTAATTAATTCAGTTGCAATCATTTGATTTTTGCAGACAATTTAGAATCACATTTTTTTTTCTTCTCATTTCTTAAAGATACCTGTAGAATGTTTCAATCATCCGAAAATGCCAGGGGGAAAAAATTGCCTTCTATTAGCAGGATTTTCAGAAGAAACCTTCATATTTTTTGGCTCATAAAGTAGAGAAAATGCCTGAAAATTTGAGTGGAGTGCTTAAAAGTTAAGAGGAGAAATCACGATATATTTCCAAAAATCCCATCTCTTTCAGACTACTATTTTGCATTTCAGCATCCTCAGGTCATTCCATAAGTATTGTGTGAAAGCTCTTTAAATGCCTTTCAATAGGAAAATAAGATGAAACATAAAAAAGATATTTTTCTGAAATCATAGTTCAATGCTCGAGTTTAAATTACTGGGAAATGTATTTTTTTCGTACTGCAGTCATCCTTGTAAATTAAGCGAGGAACTTACCATAAGATCAGATTTTCAAATGAGTGTTCATTTTTGATTTTCAGGAAGTAGCATCTTTAATCGGTTGTGATCCAAAAGAGATCATATTCACCTCTGGAGCAACTGAGTCAAACAATATTGCAGTGAAAGGTGTAGCAAGGTTCTATGCCAGTAAAAAGAAACACATCATTACAACACAAACAGTAAGTATTTTAAGCCTCTCCTTTTTCCTCTAATTCTTTTGCAGGCCACACTTATACATTGATTAGTCATACACATGTATAAAATTGAGCTTGAAACTATTATTCAACTTATTCCGCAGTTTTCCTCACACTACATTTCTTGAATTTTTCATTTTCTGCTAAGTTTATCAAATTTATCTTTAACTATTTTCGGTTTGGCTTGATTGATCAAACAGATCAATTCTTGAAATCTTGCTAATTCTATTCTCCTCATTTTGAATTTCAAATGGTTGAACGGTTTAAGTGCCTGGCTACTTCGAAAAAGTCTACTATTAGCAAGTTCTGTCATTTCATTTTGTGATGTGGATTGCTCTTTATATATATATGAGTCGCTTTTACAGCGCTCTTTGGCGCTTTACGACGCCTAATCGCCACAAAGCTCGGTCTTCCCACAGGTCATCAGGGAGTTGACAATCTCTCATCTCATTTACCACCCCCTGTCGCCAACCTCTCACTGGGCGTCCCCTACGTCTCCTCCCAGGAGGAACCCAATCAAGCATCTTTTTTGGCAGCCTCTCTTCCGTCATCCTATTGACATGACCATACCAAACAAGTTGTTTGGTCATGACGTCGAACACGATGTCATTTTCGACTTCCATTATCTGACGCACTCTATCATTACGGACCCGATCTCTCCTAGAAATTCCTGCCGACCTTCTCCAGAAATCCATCTCCGTTGCTCTTAGCATATCCTGTGTCCGTTTCTTCAGCTGCCAAACTTCACATCCGTATGTTAATATACTTTTGACTACAGCGTTGTATATCCTCCTCTTGTTATCTTTGGAAATCCGCTGATCCCAGAGGATTCCATTTAACATCGCTATAGCCTTCCTTGCTAAGGTGTTCCTTTCCCTGATAGCTTGATCCGTCCTTCCATCCTGGGTCAACCGCACTCCCAAGTACTTAAAGTGCTCGCATCCTTTGATCTGCTGTCCATCCTCCAACTCAATGCTTTGCTGATCACCGCCAAAAGTCATCTTCTCCGATTTGGATTTGCTGACTTCCAGACCCCACTTCCGATACTCTTCTACTAATTTGCGCATCATGTATTCCGCGTCATCTTGATCTTGAGCAACCACCACCTGGTCATCAGCAAAGCACAGAGTGAACAGAGTTTCAAGATCACCCAAGGGGACACCCATACCAGAACATTTCTTTTTATTGCTCTTTACTTGCAGAGATTATCTCTTCATTCTATCGTTTATAATTTTTACTGTATGTTCAAGCTAACTGTCAATGTTGGGATCTTTTTTATTCCAATAATTAGTGTTTGAAAAGTTAAATTTGCCATGCCCTGTAGGGAATTATTTAAAAGTGTATTTTTCTTGCATATTTTCAGGAGCACAAATGCGTATTGGATTCTTGCAGAGTTTTAGAAGGTGAAGGATTTTCCATCACCTATCTACCGGTCGGTACAAATGGAATAATTGATTTGGAAGAGTTGGAAAAAGCAATAACGCCACAGACATCTCTAGTCTCTATCATGACTGTCAACAATGAAATAGGAGTGAAACAACCTATCTTAGAAATTGGAGCTATTTGTAAAGCAAAAAAAGTGTTTTTTCACACTGATGCAGCTCAAGCAATTGGCAAACTTGAAATTGACGTCAGTCAGCAAAATATTGACCTAATGTCAATCAGTGGCCATAAAGTCTATGGTCCTAAAGGGATTGGAGCATTATATGTAAGGCGTAGACCCAGAGTGAGGGTTGAGCCAATTCAGAGTGGAGGTGGGCAGGAGAGAGGTATGCGTAGTGGGACAGTACCAACACCTCTAGTCGTAGGTTTGGGAGAGGCCTGCCGAATAGCAAAGAAAGAAATGAAGTATGATCATGCTTGGATGGAAAAATTGTCCCAACGTTTACTCGATAGAATATTCTCATCATTAACACATGTTGTGAGGAATGGTGATCCAGTACATTCTTATCCAGGGTGTGTGAATTTATCATTCGCATATGTCGAAGGAGAGTCCTTGCTGATGGCATTGAAAGATGTCGCGCTTTCCAGTGGAAGTGCCTGCACATCTGCATCCTTAGAACCATCCTATGTTTTACGTGCGATCGGTGCAGATGAGGACCTAGCACACTCATCTATCAGGTTTGGGTTTGGAAGATTTACAACACTAGAAGAGGTTGATTACACTGCAGAGCGTTGCATTAAGGATGTAGAGCGATTGCGTAACATGAGTCCTTTGTGGGAAATGGTTCAAGAAGGTATTGATCTTAAGTCTATTAAATGGACTCAACACTGATTATCTTCGAATCATTTGTTCTGTGTCTTTGACTGTTACCTCCTGGTGAATATGATGTAATGGGGGACATTGTTATGAGCGCCCCCCTTTTTTTTATTAGTTCCTTGAAATCACTCTTCAAAATGACAAGCTTAGAATTTATTTGTTTCACATTCTGTCACGATTTTTTTTTACGGACGGAAAAGAGTCTTAAATATAAGCTTTGCAATCATGTAATCATCTTCATGATGTGTTGGTATAAAGGGGTATTTGCACGACGAATCATTTTATTTTCATCCTTGCTCAAATCTCCGTTCAAAGCACTTCATCGCCGAACAAAGTTTATCAAAACCGAAAGGAAGATGAAAAATTTTTATTTTGGACTGATCTCAGTGAATTTTCAATGGAGATTAAAGGATAAATATGAATTAGCCCCAATTTGCTGCAGGTAAAAGCCAGTTTTTTGTTTTTTCCAGTGGCATATTGGTTGGTCAAATTCGATATAAACACAAAGTCATTGTCATTTTAAAATTTTCCATCATATTTATTTTCTCAAAGAAAAACCGTCAAGCATACTTGTCCAAAAATTTTTAAGGTCATTTTGAGTGAATTAAGGAAAGTCTCATTTTTTTTCTATAGTGAGAATAGCGAGTTACTTAGTAAAGAAAAATATGATGATAGGTAAACAAAATGCCAGAAAGATTTTGCAATTTTTGAACCCGGAAGTCGTTGGTATTCAATTTAACAGTAATCTAAAAAAAAAAAAAATTCAACCTTTTAGACCCTTGATTTGCTGCTTATTACACAATAAAAAAAGAGAGAAACTATGATCCTCTGTGTGTATAATTTTAAGTACAGAAAGTTCTCAATGTGATACTAGAGTGATAAGATTGTACAGTTCTAAATTTTAATTCGATTTCACTGATATTTTTGTTTAATTTGTACTTGCCTTAAAAAAGACTCATGTAAGAACAGCTCTAAATTTAGTGTTTCTGAATCATCTGATGCTCTTAACTGAAATGTTTCCTTGTGTTTGGGCAATTTTCTACCCTGATCATAAGTTTATTTACATTTTCTCAAGTATGTAGACTGACTGATTTCCTGTTACTTCGTCAGGGAATGAGACTTAAAAGCTAAAGAGTTTTTGATTCGGTGCTTTAGAACCACCTATTGTTTTTAAATTCATAAATCCTCCTTTCCAACAACGTCCAGTCTCTTATTACGGGCAATTCGGTTTTATTGTGACATTTTGGTGACAGAGTCAGACTGACCTAGCTTACTGAAATGATAGGCATTTTGTTCCTCCACTTGCGTAGTGTATTACCATCTTTTATTCGTTTTGAAGATTTGAAATTCCTTATTACATAATTTTTTTTCTTCACTTCAGAATTTAATTATTTGATCTTGCATGTCAAAATAAACCCTGTAAAAACGTGTAAGAGCAAATTATAGGTACATCTTTATTTTACCCAGTCAGTCTGTAACCTGGACTTAGTTTCTCTCAACTTGAGAAGTTATAACAAAAATCAAAGCGTTTAAAGAGCTCTCTTAAAGCTTTTTACTCATTTCATGGCCATTCAATTACAGGCAGACAACATTCGAGGTATAAAAATTTGTAATTAGAATCAGTATGATGTATACATTTATTGAACTCCCTTATTGGTTACTGTTTAACCTAGGGTATTGTTTCAGCCTTAGATTTGGTCATCAAACAAATGAGCCATTGAAACCGAAATTCAAATCTATTCATTTCTCTTAAGTTATGATAAAATGGTCTTTAACAGAAGTTTCTTAGAATTGAAATTCCTTTTGTTGGCCAGCAGAAATATATATCGATATGTAGCAGAACTAATGCTCGAACCGTATGCATCATCTTGGAGTATTTGATGTGCAGATATTGACTGACCATTCTATGATTAGGAACTCTTATTCTTTTCCATGTGCCCAATTATTATCACTGATACATTTTGATAAACTTGGATTGAAGCATAGGACTTTCTAAGCATAACATTGCTTTTAGCCTTGCAAAATTTATTTCAGACCAATTTCAACACAGCTGAAACAAATCGATCAATATAACTTCACAAAGTCTGGCAAAGAAGTTCAGTCAAAGTTTGACATTGGAGATAGAGTACTAGCTTTCCAAGTTATTAGTATTTTAGATCTCTCTCTAGTGTGATCCAACTTAAAATTCCAAAATTATTCATATGATTGTACTAATTAAAAGATTTTTGACTGTAAGTAACTTATATTGCTCTGTCTCCTGATGTATTTTTCTGTGACAAGCCTGGCCACAACTCTTGAATATTACTACAAATAGGGCTACAAAACTGCTCGCTTTATGTGGAGATGTAAGGTTCTTGAACTTAAATATTTTGAATATGATCATAAATTATTTTCATGAATGAAATGTAAACTTTTTTTAAATCAGCTAGTCCAAATTTGTTATTGGTTGATTGTATCATAGGCGTTTCTATTGTAAATTATTACGTGTGTAATAAGTCGTTCCTGTTTCAATTCAAAATAAATACCAACTGTTCTCTTTTTCATTTACAGACTCACTTCTTTTTCGAGTGCTCAATTGCTTAATATACGTTCTTTTCTTGCATCATCTGAAGCTTTGATAAAAGTTGCTTTAGGAGACAGAATAAAGAAGCCTTTCTTCAAAATGAAAACCATTGTATTCATCCTTCAATTTGAATAATTTAAAATCACACATAGTAAAATGACAATATATTCACAACAGATAGAAAACAAAAAAATTGAACAAATTGGATGATTTGATCAGCTCACATACTTCACTTTAAAACAATTCAAGTGAACTAATTGAGGTGATTCCAGGTATTTATTATTTCTGAATGTGTTAACTTGGTTGGAATTAATTATGAAAAGTACTGACATTTTTTGGGATTACTTTTTCAAATATATGCTTTTGGAAAATACACTATAAAGACAGATTTAGAGTAAAGAAAATATTACCTTGAAAAATTGATTACCACATATTCAGTTTTCTTATATGAAAATGGCAATGTAATTGTAGCTAAAGTGATGTCGTTAATGGACACTATCAATTAAACAGTGAAACTTTAATCTCCAGACACTTTTGTTGTATTTTGGTACTTGGATCTCAAATTGGTCAGTGCAAGCTGGAGATTTAAGTGAGTGCCTTTCTGTAATACATTATTTTTATTTCATTTATTTTTTTAATTTTTTTTAAAAAAAAAAGAATAACACTCAAAAACAATTTTGAATCAAGAAAAATCAAAAATACATTGAAAAATACCCGAATTCACCTCAGAAAAACAATACAGCTATCTACAGACAAAAAACATGAACAAATGAGAAAAACCGGGCATTCATGAGTCGAGGACTCATTTGGAAACTGTAAATGTTCAGTAAAGAAGTTTTTAGGTAACTGACATCCATCAAATTAAGTAACAATAAAAAAATAATTACCTACAAGAGCGACTTTACAGAGGGTTAGAAGGGTGCTAGGTCAAAATGTCCAAAAGAAAATGTCCAAAAGTCAAAATGTCCAAACCCTGAATGCCCAAAAATCTAAAAAGGCCAAATATCAGAAATGTCCAGCAGACAAATAAGTCCAAAAGTAGGCAAATGTCCAAATGTGAGATTAGGCATTGGTTGAGTTGTTATTGGATTTTTGGGTGCAGGTTTGCAAGCTATTTGTGAATGCAGCCACAGAAACAGATGCGTCGGATAATGGAGAGATGCAGGTTAAGAAAAAATGATGAGAGTAAATAAAGTGGAGTAGTAGTAGGTAAATAAAGAGTAAATAAGTTGGAAGCTAAATTTTTAAAAAGTAAAACAATTATTTTTCAGATTTGAAATTAAAAGAGCTGGATGCAATACTTAGTATGATAAGAAAATCGTCTAAGAGAGTGGAATCTGTCATCAAATATTTTTCTTGGGAATAAGGGAAAACAAATTCCTAGAAACCACAGAGAATTGCCATTTTGAGAAAAATTTCAGGTTTAGGAGGAGGGGTTTGGATCCCTTTTTGGAGACGCTGCATCAATAGCAATAGCTACGTTTATGCGAGGCTCGAAACCGGGGTTTCATGAAACCCGAGTTTGTAATGCAAGTTTCCTCCGTCGGGTTTATGCGGGCGCTGTAACCCGACTTTCGCGGGAAATCAAACTTTCCGATTTTGGCGCTGTTTATGCGCATATTTTCGATTGAACTTGAATTTCATGTTGGCGCCATTTTCACAAGCTATACTTCATTTTTCCACTATGAATTGATTCAATAAATTATTAGGTATTACTCTTTTAACCTGTGGATGTTCAATTTTTCCACAATATATAAGCGGAGGCTTCATCTTCACTAGAAAAGCCTTTACTGACTTTCTAAGCAACAGTTGGAAAAATGACAGTAGATGTTTAATCATTTCACGTTCATCTTTAAAATTGAATGAATACCTAATCTCAACAACCCTCCAAATCATGCTCGAGCTTATATTCTGAGTTCAGAAAAGTTGCCATAGGTAATTTTTAGTGATGTTAAAAATAATTATGGCAGGCGCAGAAATTCATCATGTTGTTGATTGAGCTTCTAATGATCTTACAATAGGTACTTAGATATAGGCATTGAAAGTGTAGGAGTGCTAATCCAGTAAAGCACCGCACCTTCACTCCATGCTGTCGTAAAGATTGTGTGTCTGCCATTATTGTAGTGAAACAAATAAAGAATCGGGATATACTTATGGGAATTCCTCTTTCAAGATATGATCAAAATAAGCAGATATTGATAGGTCAACAATGTATCGCTGAAGCAGAAGCGTCTAAATCCTCTTGAGGCAACGGACGGTGACAATCTCAACAAACTGGTGACGCTTCACAAATTTTGAATTTCCACATTCCCAGAGACACGCGCTGAAATCCTGTTTCTCGCACCCCTCTTTCCGACTGCTCTCCGAGTCCATGAGCAAGACAGGAAGAAAATAGGCAAGCTACCTACCACTGTTTGCCTACCTATGTGTGTTTTTCTTAAACTTGATTTTCAAAGGTGACTCATGTAAAGAGCAACTGACAAACAAGATTTCAGAACCTGCCATTGCATTTCACTAATCTAAGACACAAACCCAACCTTACCATTGATATTCTTTCGCTTAGACTGTATATTATTCTCCTACTGAGATTCGATATGAACTCAATTCAAAAATCCTTCTGAATTTAATAATTCAGGTAGATTGGAATCTGGAGCTCTCAGTCTATCTGTAAAGCGCATTTACTAACATTCACTGCTGTCACAAGATATTTTTGCACAGGCAGAGCCACTTTCCACAGTTGATGCATCTCTAACGCCAAAGCTCAATTATGACAAGTGGTTCAACGACCAAAAATTGTTACACGCCTCAATAAAAACCTTATTCTTATCTCAAATTGAAAATCTTAGATCACAGAGCACTCACCGAAGAATCTCCTTCCTTCTGCATCAGTATGAGAAGAGTGACGATACTTTGGAGCAATAACTTTGAACTAGTTTCAATAAATGATGGCTTCAGAATTTGAGTCATCATTTACTAGAGATTGGATCAAAGAAATAAGTCAGCAGGTCACGGTTGTGGCTGGAGTCACACTTCCAGTAGGACAATCAGGAAATACGTACACGGATAGCACACAAATTCAAGAGCTATGCAGCTCTGATTGGATCAGATTTTAGATTTAATTGGTAGATTGAAATGAAAAAATTCGGTGCACTACTTAAAGGGAAGCAGGGTGCCTTATCTTGAAATCCTAGGCAAATCGTAAGGATGCAGTAAAAAAGTTCGCCGCAGATGATGAACTGGTGGGTAAGGCTATTACTCAATTGTAGCCTGTAAAGCTCTTTGCTTGCTCTGCTTCTGTAGTCATAAAATGTTGATTAGAGTTGCAAGAATAATCTGAAAAAGCAGTAATAAGCCTGGATTCCATCTGACACTAAACACCTTCACTAGAAAATAACGTCCGCTAATATAAAGTTTAGCTAAATAAGGATAAGTAAGCCACATATAACTGAAGGAATCACGTAAAAGTGCTTAAGCAACAATTATAGTAAAATTATGATTGTAAAAAATGTTGAATAATGGCAAAATTAAAGCTAAATCGTGGGATAAGGACCAGTTGTTTACGAACGGTATGATAATAAATCCGCCATATTGCCGATCGCGCACCTGAAAATCGCATTTGAAGTCGAATTTCAACTAATTTCAACCTCCGGTTCGTTTATGCGGAGTGCGAAAACCTAGTCTTTAGTGTAAAATAAGGTTTCAAACACAAATTTCGGAAACCTACATTTCGTTAGTTCCGTATCGTTTATGCCGTGATTTGAACCTTGGTTTCAAACTCAGGTTTCGATTGAAGTTAGGTTAAGAGGCTCGCATAAACATAGCTAATGAACAATTAGAAAACTGGTGGTCCTGCTATAATTCAAGAGTGAATTTTTTTCTGTTGATAAAATAATGAGCCCTATTTTTAAGGTATCCCCACGTTTTGAGATTCAAGTCAGGAATTATTTCAATGTTTTTTAAATGGTTCAGTACTTTTATGAATAGTATTAATAAGGAGTTATGTAGAGCATTAACAGTTAAAATTTAATAACTTCAGTTACGCAACATTTTAATTTACCTACTGAACAACAAGAGATTAATGAGACTATGTAATGTATGAAGGTTAGAGATGTTAGCAACTTACAAGATTGGGGGTATATTCTTTCTTCTCTTAGGAAAACTTAAAGATTTTCTCTGATACTTGTATGTGTGATACAGAAGACCATTTAAACTCATTTTCTTTTCTTTTTTAGGATGAAATCCGCATTTATCTACATACTTTTAAAAGCTCAACTTTTTGTTCAATTATGCTCATCCGACTAACTTAAGATCCCTTATCTGTCTGTTCCTGAATTAATTGCCACCAAAAAAAAACCAATACCTACTAATATTCTATACCAGCAACAATGAATGAAACAGAAATTTGTGCACAACTGAAGAAAAAATCATGCTGACGCTTGAAGATCCATAACTGGCAAGAATTAAAAAATACTGGAATTGTCTAGTTTACATATACCTGCGTAATCAACAATCAGAGACACACCGAAAAAGTTTTTATTCATTAAAAAACCACACAAAAAATCAAGATAAAAACCTAAACTTTCATGTTCCTTTAGATATTGCCACTCTGGTGTATATTTAAGTATTCACAGCAGATCCTCTTGCCTATGACCAGTGAAGGCTAACGAATGAAATACTTGCTAAATAACATATTTCAGAGAAGAATTTTGATGAAAAAAGTATCTGATATCCCTCCTTAAAGAGCTAGGCATTCCCTACATGAAGCTTAAAATTTAAATGGATCCTGAATATAAATTAAATGCGAAATTTGTTGAAGGTAGACAATGCATTTAATCTAGTCTTTAAAGTGCAACTAACGTTGGATGATCAATTTCAAGATCGGATGGAACTTGAAATTTTGAGAAATCAACAAAAATTACTCTTTCTTGTAACGAATTACAGGTTCAGGGGGACCCCCTCACCTTTTAGAATTGTACGGGAGTCAGGGCAGAGGGTATGTAATTGTTACATGCTATTTTAGAAAACATTAAAATTGCACACAAATGGAACAGTCGAAGTTAAATTCTAGGCATTACGATCTTCAATAGGAAACGTTTAAAAAAAGTAGAGATTTTACTAGCGAGTCCTTTAGCGCCAGCAATTGTAGTAACACGAAGGTAAAGACACAAGCATGAAGAGATTCTGCTTATCTCCTTCACTTGAGACGATCTTAAGAAATTATAAAGTTATGAGATCAAAACTCTCAGATTTTTGCACACTTTCATACACCTACAAAGAGAGCAAAAATGAACGCAGATGCCTCAGACGCGCAACGCAAGACAATGTAAGATTACGGATACCTTTCCTTTACTTTCCCACTTTCATAATATGAATTGGCTTCCATACAATTATACTTAACAAGAAAAAACCTTAAAAGGGGATTTTTTAGTCGCTATTAAAAATGGGGAAAAATACTGCATATCTTCATCACTACACTAAGTGAGACTAATTCATAATTCCTTGAGTATTAACTTTTGGCACTGGCTAAATCCAAGCATTCTTGACGACCAAAACAAAACAATCAAAATCTAGAAAGAATTAAACTCTATAAATATAAGTTAATAATCAGGGAACACCTGTAGTAAGTATTATGTGAGGACAAAAAAGGAGGGAAATTTTTGATCTGAATCAAGGTTGAAGTGCTAGAAGACCCATTGGGATTGGGCCCTTCAAAGAAAAAATGATCTGATCGCCAGAGGCAAAGAGGTGGAAATTATCTAACCTTCACTCGACAGGAATCCACTAACTCTTATTACTGCCAAAATTAAACAAAAATTTTTCTCAACTTTTTTGGGGTCCAACAACTGCACAAGGAGGTTGGAGGAAAAATACTTCAGAATGAGGGAAATTCAAAGGTTCTTCTCTGGGTGAATTTTACATGTGCTGTAATTTTGGACAGTTTACTAAACAAAAAATACAAATAATAGAGGAGAACCGAGGCTAGAGTGGAGACGGCTGGAAGACAATTTTGCCTCTCTTCACATGAAAGGAAATAACACGAAAGAAAAAAGTGTATGCCAATTCCTCAAATTACGACTAAAACCAAAACCAACCTCTAGACCTTTGAGTTTTACAATCAAATTCAACAAGTTTATAATTTACACCAAAAACTGTCTTTTTCATGATTTTAGTGAAAATAATTCACAAATGGTGCGTACCAATTAAAAAATAACAAAAAAGTCCTCTTGCAGAGGGAAAATCAACAGAGATTATAGAATCTTTATAATGCATCAAGAGTCTTGTTGAAAACATCTTTTGATTTAACTCTGAATCAGTTCAACAACCAGATATAGGATTGTTACTTAATTTTTTTCACATATCCCCTTTTTTTTTCGAATATAAAATTCACCAAAAATGGTTGTGAAGTCTTCTCAAAGCAAGATTTAATACTTCATGATTGAGAAAAAAAAAAGAAGAAGAAGAAGAAAAAATGGAACTGCTGTTTTATGAACACGACTAAACACCAAATGAATAAAACTTTGAGCAGGTAGGCAGGGTAGATCTTGATTTCTTGAAGCAGGATTTTTTCATAATGAAAATGGTGTTTTATCATAAGGCTCAATTCCAGCTTTACTGACTATCATGTTACCTAGCACAGACAGGATGGTTCTGTGACTTCCTCAGCAGGTGCAATTTTGAATGCATTTACGTCAACGCTCTGAAGCTCAATTCGAGATCGATTAGACTGAACTAGATGATATGCAATGTCTCTAAACATCTCCTCAACCCCTTCGCCGGTTTTACATGATGTTTTATAAGTTGCACTGATGAGATTGTGACACTGTTCACTGAAAACAATAAGTAAAAAATTATATTAATAAATCCCACAACTTAGAGCTGCAAAAAAACAACTGAATATTCCTCTTTTACGCTTGTACATTTGGGAAAAAACCAAGAGTACCATTTAATGTCATGACCAGATTTAACTTTTTCCTATCTTAGGGCAGATGCAACGGTTGTAATAAAAGAAAAGATGTACCATCGAGGGTCTTAATGGCCTTCCTCGAAGAATTTTTTACAAAGTGTCCATTAGGAGCAAGTTTAACCTATTTTTTGTAACTTACCTACTTCATCTTTCCTCCCTATTCCTGGATTTCCGTTTGCTACCCCCGAGGCATTTGCTACACTTACTTTCCAGTGAATCACCTGTATTTTTTGCCCCTTGACAAAGATTTTTCCAAATACCACAGGTACCCGTTTGTGTATAGATTCACCTATTCCGGATGGTTCAAAAGCCTAAACCAGTTTCTTAAAAGTCTTGGATAATTTTTTATCATGCATTAAGTGTTCAAAGCAATTTTAATTAAAATGAGAATTGCTGAGATCTGGCAGTTTTGGGGACATACGACTCCTCAAAAATATTTTTTAAAAGGGAAATTTAATTTTATGAGGAACTAATCATCTTACTGGCAGTCTTAGACTCACAGTTCTCATCAATCCAGGTTTTCAAATGGCACTTATGATTTTTTGAAAATTGGCTAAGGAATTTAGTTTGTCTACAATTTTGAACAGTCGAATATCTCACTTAAAAATTGAGATTTTGACATAGTGTTTTCACAAAAACTAACCAATTTTTATTATGTTTCAAACAACATATCGTATAAAGTACCTTATACTGATCAAAGAAAACACCTAAAATTTTAGATCTCTATGAGCAACCGTTAAAAGTGCTCCCAGACTTTTGGGTCACCCTGTTAAACGGGTACAGGTTACAAAGAGTGTGCTTACCAAAAACTTTCCATGTCAGCCTCTGTGACCTGAGGTGTAGAACCCTCTAAATCCATTTTATTCCCACAAAGAAATATCTTAGCATTCTCAGCATATGTTACAATCTCTAACAAATGTTGAGACAATACATGAAATGAGGCAGCATTGTCTAGAGAAAAGACTAAAATAGCCGCTTCTGCAAACTTGTAGTAACTTGAAGTGATCGAGGCAACTCGCTCCATTCCTCCTGTATCCCATAATTGTAGCTGAAATTCAGAACACAAAATAGTAATTAATCAGGTGGAATTTACATCCAAATTTCTCCTCGATTGTGGTGCACATTAGGATGTAGGTAGGTAGGTAGGAACCGATTAAAAAAAAAAAAAAAAAAAAAAAGGTGACAAAACAGCAAGAGTGGCAAAATGGTGTTGCGATATAATTTCATTTTAAGTTTTACATTACTACCAATAGAAAGGAAAACTTACAAGACTTGAAGAAATGCTTTTAACATTATAGCTAAGCATTATCCAATACTTAAAGTTGGTAGAGCTTTCGTCAACTATGTCAGCACTGGTTTACATTTTGCTTGCAAACAATCGCGATGCAATAATCAAATAGCAATCAGGAATTGACTACAGCCCGATCGTGAGCATAGTCAATCCTCGATTCCTACTGGACAACTGCATTGCGGTCGCTTGCAAAGGGCATATGAACAAGGGTCAACTTAGCTGACACACCTCTTCTACTGTGTATTTGATGACTTGGGACATAATTCTCTCACAATGTCATTTAACCACTCACGCCGTTTGTCCACCTATATTCTTATAGGTATGGATGCAGCCTTCGTTTCTTAGATGGAATGTTCAAAAAACTTTAGCGGATCCTTTTACAAATTTTCACTGTTCATGGTGTACTCAGAGGTGCAGTACTTCTTCTAATTAATGCACAGCTGCCTAATAAAAACAAGGAGTGGTGTAGAACAATTCTCAAAGCAATCTTAAAGAAAAGATGCTGGATTCATACCAGTACCACTCAATAACTAATTTCGTCTGAAGATGTGTCATATATGACATCCCAATGTAAGCAAGTACAGACATGCTATTTTTTTTAAAATCGGGTGATAACATAGGTTAAATTTTTAGTGGGAGCATTTAGACCAGGATTTTGAAGGGATATCGAGTTTGGGGCAATTGGATTATCGGTAAAAACGATTGGATGAAAGGGCCTCCTTGCCTCGCAACTAACTTTAGTACAAGACTATGAAAAATAAGCATCAGGACAACTTACCCCAATTGATTTATCATTAATCCGGTACTCTTTGTTGTAGTGATCCAAACCCAGTGTAAGTTGACGACTAGAGCCACTGACAAATGTATCATAAGCATAACGACGGAACAGAGAACTTTTACCAACTCCATACTCCCCGCAGAGTATTACTTTTTGCTCAGGTACCTTAATAGAGGCCATACTTAACTCCTCGAAAACGTAAGAGAAATTTCACTGTGAGGAAAGATACATTACATCATAAGAAATTGCGAACAGTTCCAGTGCGATGACTCTGAAGAAACATGAGATTGGTGTTGATAAACCCACTCATTTTTACACACTAAGGGCAAAAGTAAATAATGCAGTCAGGTGACAGAATTGGTGATTTTGATAGAGTCTAAATTCATCCAAGCGGCAATAGCAATAATACTAAGGAGAAATAAAACCACAGGTACAGATTTCTCTTGACTTGAAAAACGCAAAGTGCTAACTTTTAAGACTAAACAAAAACGGGGGGTACCGTTTGGGTCTAAATAGTTAACGTCTAAAAATTAACGGTCTAACCTTTTCAAGTCTAAAAGGTTTACGTCTAAAGTGTTAGCGTCTAATTGTTAGACGTCTACCGACCACTCGGTCTAATTGTTTTGCGTCTAAACAAGGGTCGTCTTAGGTAAATAGTTGACATCTAATAATTCGTCACCTTCCCGGCCAAGGCGGATAAAGACTATGGTGGTCGCATTTCGATTTTGGCTGCCATCTTGAAGCGTTGTGACGTCAGAGAGGTACGGGTTATGCCGTGCAATCCGAGGTTGAGTCGGCCCCCCCGGCCTCGGCCAGCTCATGTACCCGATGTACCCGATACCGTGTGACGTCCAGAGGGTACGAAATGCGACCACCATTCTTTATCCGCCTTGCTTCCCGGCAAAGTATCACAAGCGCCACTTTGCCAACTTTTCAAGAGACACAAAAAACTGAATTGCGACCGTAAAAGACGGATGTTTGGCTTGAAACTTGAAATATAGATCCAGCACACCTCCCTGCTTCGAATTTTAATAAAATTTCTTTAAAAAAACGGGTTTTTCTTTGAAAATTGGCGCTTGTGATATCGGCTTCTCGGGGCACTCTGAGAATCTATTGGCGCTTGTGATACGAAAGCCCATCAAATTTAACGGAGTTTTTTCCATATTTCTTCATTTTTAATCTAAAAAAAAATATTATTTTCGTATGTAAATGCATCTTATTAATTCAAAACTACCCATAACTCAACTTTAATAAAAATAGCGCTTGTGATACTATGGAACGCCGTTAGTGTCAAAACCCTTTTCTTGCGCGCGCGGAATTTTTTCTGGCGCGCGGAATTTTTTTTCGGCGCGCGGAAAGAAAACAAGTCGGTCATTTTGAGTTCACGAATGACGTTTCCAAAGGTGCGTTGTTAAATTACTTTTGCTGCCCAACAAAAATGGCCGAATCTTAGCAGGATTGACGTCATCTCAACGATGACGTCAGCTCAACAGACGGGAGAAAATCGAGGTGTCGTTGTTAAATTCCCGTGGGATTCTGCGGATTTGGAGGTTAAGTTTTGTTGAAATTTAAGATTTTTAACATTTAAAAATCTTATTAACACCCACATTATTACGAAATTGACGCAATTAACGATTATAAGCAATTGCAAGTCAGTCTGGTGACGAACTTGTGGCGAAGAAATGCGAAAAAATGGCGGTTATGGATGTAAACAATAACATTACAACAATCCAGCAAACTCGGCAGCGGTCCACAGCAGCCGAGAACCTCGCTGAGCTGTTGGGCAGTTTGCTGAGCAGCCATCTTGGAAAACGGGTAAATCCACCAGAATTTACCAACGCTTTCGTTGAGCTCAACGCTCAGCGGGTAATTTTCGTTGGGCAGTTGTGGACTTTAACAACGCATCTCAATGCTCATGCTGGGCATTGGATGTTCTCCCAGTAAAGTGTAAAGTCTCCAAATACGTACTTCACTTCAAATTAATTTTTTTAAATTATAAGGGTTCGAAAAAATGAATGATCATTTAGGTATTCCTTTGTAACCACCACAGTCCTTTTCTTTGATTATTGTCCCAGTTTGATTTTTGTTGCCATCTTGAAGTTTTGTGACGTCAGGCGGGTACCACTTTTGCCAGGCGACTACCGAATCTGTAGCGCGCATTTCAAATCTTTGCCTGCTCTCAACAAGATTAGAACAAGATGAGGACGAGAAGCATTGTTTGATAAGTGAGATGACGATGATAAATTAGATATAAATGATCCGTCACATTCCTTCCTAGAAATGTGCCTGTTCCAGCTGAATTTAGTTTTTTATTTCTGAATGATGAAAGAATCTCAAAGGATCGAAATATGACTAATTACTAGCTCTGTAGTTTGCAAGATAACGCCCTTACCTGAGTTATGAATTTTTCCAGTATCGTTGAAATATAAGTAGAGTACCTAGTAGCGGCACCCAGTGTCACAGTATGTCCTACCTATCTGATGTACCTAGGTAATTCTCATCCAAATAAGAGAAGAATAAATATTTACCTTCATTAACACCAAGTAGACGAAAGTTCCACTGTGAACTTAGTTGGCCAATAAAAATGCAAACAATGAAGCAATTATTTTTATTTCCTGACTCCAAATGGTAAGATTTATGGTAAGAACTCTAAGGCATAGTAAAAACTGTATTTATCATTCCTCAATAAATACAAGGTTGACTGTTTGCATGGCAATGATAGTACATTAGTTGGCGGCTTATCTATTATTCTAAACTTTAGATTAAGTTGATGAAGGTAGCAGGTTGTTGTCAGCAAGAGCTGTTGATATGAGTATGTAGTTTAGAATGGTCAATTTTTAATTCTGCCAGAGGAGCATCATTAGTATTTAATACAAAACTCTCAGGGGTCTCTGGATACTATGCCACCTCTTATAAAGAATGTTTATGCTAATTTTGTTGCTATGTGGTGATGGGAGAGATAATTTCAAGATTATTTTGGTAAAAGTCGGACAAATATGAGGATGCCAAGTTTATAAGAAAATCTCACAAACCAAAGTGAACATTGTTTCATGCCTCTGCAATTTTCAGCTTCGGGCTAGGTTCTCGCAAGAAGGTCAGCACAACGCGCTGATCAAACTTT